ACACACCACACACAACACACACCACACACAACACACACACCACACACAACACACACACCACACACAACACACACCACACACACAGCACACACACCACACACAACACACACAACACACACAACACACATAACACACACAACACACACAACACACACAACACACACAACACACATAACACACATAACACACACCACACACAACACACACATCACAACACCACACCACACAACACGCACACACAACACGTACACACAAACAACACACAACACAACACCACACACAACACACACAACACACATAACACACCACACACAACACACACCACACACAACACACACCACACACAACACACACACCACACACAACACACACAACACACACCACACACACAGCACACACACCACACACAACACACACAACACACACAACACACATAACACACACAACACACACAACACACACCACACACAACACACACAACACACACACCACACACAACACACACACAACACACACAACACACATAACACACATAACACACACCACACACAACACACACATCACAACACCACACCACACAACACGCACACACAACACGTACACACAAACAACACACAACACAAAACCACACACAACACACACAACACACATAACACACACCACACACAACACACACCACACACAACACACACACCACACACAACACACACACCACACACAACACACACCACACACACAGCACACACACCACACACAACACACATAACACACACAACACACACAACACACATAACACACACACCACACACAACACACACCACACACACAGCACACACACCACACACAACACACACAACACACATAACACACACCACACACACCACACACACCACACACAACACACACAACACACACAACACACACACCACACACAACACACACATAACACACACACCACACACACAGCACACACACCACACACAACACACAACACACACACCACACACAACACACATAACAGACACACAACACACACAACACACACAACACACATAACAGACACACAACACACAACACACACACCACACACAACACACACACCACACACAACACACATAACACACATAACACACACAGCACACATAACAGACACACCACACATAACACACACAACACACATAACACACACAACACACATAACAGACACACCACACATAACACACACACAACACACATAACAGACACACAACACACACACCACACATAACACACATAACACACACCACACATAACACACACAACACACATAACACACACAACACACATAACAGACACACCACACATAACACACACAACACACATAACAGACACACCACACATAACACACACAACACACATAACAGACACACCACACATAACACACACAACACACACACACCACACACAACACACACCACACACAACACACACACCACACACAACACACATAACAGACACACACACACACCACGCACAACACACACACCACACACAACACACACCACACACAACACACACACCACACACAACACACACAACACACATAACAGACACACAACACACACCACACACACACCACACACACCACACACAACACACACACCACACACAACACACATAACAGACACACACACCACGCACACCACACACAACACACACCACACACAACACACACACCACACACAACACACACAACACACATAACAGACACACAACACACACCACACACAACACACATAACACACACAACACACACACCACACACAACACACATAACAGACACACAACACACACCACACACACACACCACGCACAACACACACAACACACATAACAGACACAATATTTTTTACGATTTTATTCCGCTTTCGTTGCTAGTCGATCCGCGTCTCCCATCCACCGATCCGAGTGGGGTGTTATTGTTACGTACACTTAGTGGTCTGTTATCATTATTATTATATGCACCACCCACTCTGTCCCGCTCTTGTTCACCTCGTTATGTCAACATTTAGATCCTGATCCCAACTTTAATCACTGCCCGAAAATAAAGTCGTCCTTTCGATCCATCTCGTAAACGTCTTGCCACCTTTATCCGTCACAGTGCTGTGGTCGCCCGCGACGCACCTTTGATGATGTTCCTATTCTCTTGATATTGTAGACGTGAGCTTGCATGGCTGTTGTTAGCCACCGTCACACTGCGTGTTGCTCAGCGACGTTAGCGAACGTAAGCTCGCTCGCTATTCTTGGGTTGGGTTAACTTTAGCCCGCTCCACTCATTGGAACTCCACACTCATTGGATCTCCACACCCATTGGAACTCCACACTCATTGGAACTCCACACTCATTGGAACGCCACACTCAATGAAACTCCACACTCATTGGAACTCCACACTCATTGGAACTCCACACCCATTGGAACTCCACACTCATTGGAACTCCACACTCAATGGAACTCCACACTCATTGGAACTCCACACTCATTGGAACTCCACACTCATTGGATCTCCACACTCATTGGAACTCCACACTCATTGGAACTCCACACCCATTGGAACTCCACACCCATTGGAACTCCACACACATTGGAACTCCACACTCATTGGAACTCCACACTCAATGGAACTCCACACCCATTGGTACTCCACACTCATTGGAACTCCACACTCATTGGAACTCCACACTCATTGGAACTCCACACTCATTGGAACTCCACACTCATTGGAACTCCACACTCATTGGATCTCCACACTCATTGGAACTCCACACTCATTGGAACTCCACACCCAATGGAACTCCACACCCATTGGAACTCCACACTCATTCGCACGATCGTCACATTCCCATGGATCCACAACAGATGGTTTTTTTTGGGTCAGATCGCGTAAATATATAAATGTTGTGTCGTTAAACCCGCCACCACCCGACACAGCCAACTAGTAAGGTTTGTCACGTAAACAGAACGTGCCAATTCGTCACTAGTACAGCACGCCGGTGTGTTGGAGAGCCAAGCCACAACATTTACAATCTGAGTACGACGTTTCGCCAGTAATTACAACTAGCTTTATCAGGCGACAGCCAGATTTGTGGAGAAATCCTCTTCCTGCTTCACTCTTAATTTCCCGGGCATACAAATTGACAAATGGCAAGATGCTCCGCTGCTTCAACACTTACTGGACTTTCCGATGAGCACGGCTGGCTACGTACGGCGCTAAAGGAGTTGAACGTGCAGTGCATGCGGACAACGCAGGGGCATCGTTGCGTCCGCACGCTGTCCGCCCGCGGGTCGTGGCGACGTTGTGCCCCCTGCCGTCGGCGATGTGTGAACTCTCGGCCTGCGGGTCCCGGGTCTCGTCGCGCACGAGCTGCGGGCAGTGTCACGGCTGTGTGGCATGAAATGTGCTCTGGTGTAGCGCCGTATAAGTGAAACACGCTGCCGGTTGTTGTTTCTTGTTGTTGTGATCTCATGCAGCATCATGGTCATGCTATCACTTTCCTTCGTTCTGTTTGTTTCAAGAAATGACGTGAGCAACGCGTCGCTCATTTATACGAAAGCATCACGATCAGTCTGCGTCTCGTTGAGTCTTCTTTAAGAGTGCACGTGCATTTAACAATTTAAGTATGTTGATAATAATGCGTTGTGTAGCCAGTGTGTTTCTAACCCGTGATATGACACTGGCTATATATTTTATTACCGACGTAACATTTATCATCAATGTCTCAGCCTCGTGGTCACCTTGTTCACCACAGGAGCATTTGGCACAAAATAATTGTTTCAACTCCCAGTACGATTCACCCTGAACTTGCTGTGGGGAGTGTACGTACGTATGTTGAACTTCTTTCGCACCGTATGTAGCCAACCGTGCCAGTCGGAGGTGCGGAGTGAGCTGTGTGCTCAGAGGTGGATTGTGAAGGCGCAACAGCATCATCGTTCACATGCCTAGGCCACTGTGGACCGCTGTTATATACTCCAACATATGAGTAATCTGTAATTTCGTTTTGTTTTAACTCTTGAAATCACGGTAACTGGTGCACATTTACATCATGGGACCTCCTTTGCCAGTACCAAAATACCATAATAGGTTTTTCCCCTTTTTTCCGGCACATTTACGTGTCGATTTTGAATTGTGCATTTGAAATATTTGAAAAAAAAAAGCGAGAGAGGTAAAGTATAACAATAGTCGTGGTGGTCCCATCTATGGAGGCAACAGCGGGTGTCTCCTGATGGGTTAACTGCCACCCACCCTTAGAGTACTGTGGGATTCTTTAAACGACGACGCACAGCCGCCAACACAGATGCACCCCCCCCCTCCACGCTCGCATGAGTAGGAAGACACTCGAAACGAGGTGGCGGCCGGGTGACTCACAGGGCTCATTCGTGTCGGGGCACTGAACCGGCGCTGATGAGATCAGACAACTGGCTCCCAGCCAACATTCCACATACGTCAACATGCTCCATCCCAACATGCTCCATCCTGTGACATGTGAGCACCATCTCCGTGCCCGGTTTTAGTCGCATTCCTCAAGGGTAACTAGTTGATGATCTCAGCATGGTGACTGGTGGCTTCACAGAGGAAGAGAGAGAAACCCATAGCGTAACTGGAAGCACGAGTGTGCGATCACCGATTGGAAAAGCCATGTGGTGCTCTGACAGTGGATGCCGGTACCCTTTGTTTGTATCCAAATGTGGATTCGAATCCAGGTAGCTGATCGTGGTTATAACGTGTGCTCATTGTAGTAAATTCACGATCTCAGCTCCGTAACTGATGACTTGATAATGCAACCCGTTAAATAAAATGTCTCATCCTCGGACTGAGAATTTGATGTAGCAACACATATTGAGGGAGTCTTTTTAAGTACATCCGGTGTCGTTATTCACGGTCATTTCCTGACAAGATGGGTAGAATGTTGCGATTCATACGATGTCACCTGACCACGCCACTGTGTATCCCTCGTGGGCGCAGGTGAGCTGCTCAGTCAGCCACGGCCAGAGGGCGTCACGGAGCTGGTGTGCCCGCGGGGCGGCACGGGCTCGGAGAGAGTGCACGTGTCGCTCGTGTACCCCCCCTCGCCCATCTCCCTCAAGCCCTGCCCGCCCGCGCCCTGCTCGCTGCCCCTGCCACCGTCGCCGTCTCCGGGACCCTCTCCGTCCCCGTCTCCCACCGCCCCCGGCGGACCGCACACCCTCCCGGCCGCCACCGCCACCACCTCACCCGGCTCCTCGCTCAGCCTCTCCCTCACGTCTGTGTCCAGCCCGAGTTCCCTGGAATCCCGTCCCGCTTCGAAACCGCCCTCTCCCTCGCCCTCTCCCTCGCCCTCGCCCGCGACGCGTGCCGGCACGCCCGCCGACCGGCACGCCGGATCGCCGCCCAACCCGCCAAACTTGGAGTCTCTCAGCTCCACGGAGACGCTGCACGCGCGCCTCTACCCCAGCGCCGTGATGACCACGCCCAAGCCGGGCGCGACGTGCTGCCCGCAGGACGGCCAGCCGGGCGGAGCTGCCAGGGCTCGCCCCCACCCGCCGAGCAAGCCCAGCATCGTCACGCACATCGGCACCCACCCCGTGCGCCGGCCGCACGCCGCCGACGGGAGGCCCGCCGCCGGGACCGCCGCCGCGGCCGCGCACGCTCGGGCCGCCGGCTTGGCGTCGGCGCCAGGCATGGCCTCGCGTCCCCGGTTGGTCGCTCCTCACCGGCGGCAGCACGGCGCCGGCGTCGTTAGCAGAACGACGCGGCCGCAGGGCCGTGCCAGCCACAGCTCGGCGCCGCACTCGCCCACGGAGCCGCTCCCGCCGGCCTGCGCGCAGCCGCGGAGCCTGTCATGGCCGACCGTGCACGGCGCCGCCGCCGCCGTCACGAGCGCGACCTCCACCCTCGCCCCTAACCCCACCGCGACTTCCCGGCCACACCTCAGGAACGGCGCGCGACCAGGACCCCCGGCCAAGTGAGCGATGGGAGGGGCCGCGAGCTGCCCACGCCCGGGCCGGGTTTGGCAGCGCGAGAGCGGTGGCCGCTGTCCGTTCCCTGTTATGGAGCCCCTGGATCTCATGGTCGGGGGGGAACCCCTTGGGACTGCTCGAGGGGGGAACCCACGTGACCGTCGCCACGCGAGACCGAGGAAGCGCCGCGTATTCACGGTCTCCACGTATTCACGTTCTCTCCCGCTGCCATTTGCTCGGCGATGACTTTGGCCAACCCTTATGGACGTGCGGCTCGGCAGAGTCGGCAGAGAGAAAGGTGCACGGAGCCGCGCTCGCTGCATGGGGGGGCGAGCCGACTGCCGTGCCATGACGATGCGCTGCTTGGAAAGAGGTTGGTCACACGCTTGATGAAATGCCGCTGAACTTTCCTGCGATAGGAAGTGAGAAGGTAGAGGGGGAAGACCTCCGGGAGGGGGTGGTCTGCTCAAGGGGTTGATGCTGAGATTTATGGTTTTGATTGTGGCCAGCGAGCCAACATTTTAATCAATTTCTCAAGTGCACCGAACCCAATAATCTCAACGCCGTCACCAATGAATGCACAAAACCCCATAGGGGTTTTTTTTTAAACTAAATTGCACTTGGCTATATTCTATGAGCTACAGTTTTAAACTTAAGCATATTTTTTAATGAATGACTCGCAACAAACCCCTCCCAATATGCAATTGTTTTGTTGATCAGGCAAAATATTTGTGAAAGTATTAAACAAGGCATGCGAGACACATTGCAGCTATTCTGTTGTTCTCTTCTGTTGGCCAGTGCTGCCGTCCAAAGGAGTTTGCTTCATCATTACATTAGCATATGCATGGCTAATGACTCATTGAAGTTGAAATTGGTTCTAGTTTGCCTTTGAAAAATAATTGTTACAGAAAAGCATGAATCTAAATGGACTGCCTGTGGATTAGTTAAAGGTTATGGCTTAGGTGGGCAGGAGATGGCAGTATAGCAATAAAACATTGGTTTGGTTTTGACTTAAAACTTTCGTGACTGCAGGAATTCATATTCTTTCGGTGAAGTCACGTGGATAGACATGTCGATAGACGTGTAGATAGACGTGACTTTACCGAAAGAATTCATATTATTTGGTTCTTTCGGTGAAGTCAAGTCGATAGACGTGTAGATTGACGTGACTTTACCGAAAGAACCAAAGAATATGAATTTCTACAGTCACGAAAGTTTTAAGTCAAAATGTATTGGTTTGGCTGTTCGGCTGCTACAAATGCCTTTCTTTGGTAGGGTGTGGCGAACAGTGCTGCTATTATTGTGTGGAATCTCACGAGATAGCTGTGTTTTCTGCTTCTGTGAGTCGTTCTTCAATGCTGTGTGAGAGATTTGGATACCGTCACCTCGTCACGTGACACCGATATCGCAACAGGGATGGAATTTGGTTAAATTATTTTTTCAATATGTATTTAAAGTGAGATGTTCTGAAGGGACCGTGGCATCTTAGCATTTATGTAGTTAAATGTTCTCTAATAATTGAAGAGAGCCTTTGGAAATTTAATTCCACTAATGTCTTTAATCAATTATAAATATATCTTGTGGTGGAGATCTCGGGGCGTCCAGTGGGGTTTATGAGGCTACATCCTGCCGGGTAGTCACCTGCAGTCCCAGGATTGCGTGGTTTTAACAAATTAATGTATTTAACAAACCCCTCTACTGCAATGTTTTTTTTTCTTCTGAATACAGAAATGTAAGCAGAAACATGGCATTCAGAATGTGCTCGTTTCTCAGGTCTTCTTCAGAAAATAAAATGTCTCGAGCCTATTTCCGCCTTATCTTGCGTACGGGCTTTCGCGATTGCCAACCGAGTTGTCTATCGTGTGTTGTTTCAGCAGAGCGATCTCACGTGGGACTTCCTCCTCCTCCTCCTGCTCCCCTCGCTGTGGCCGCATGTCCGGGTTCTCCACGCTGCTCCACCCGCAGCGCCGCCGGCCGTTCAAGAGGGCCTTCTCTGTGCGCTCCCACGGCAGTGCGGATGCTCACGCTCTAAGCTCGTGATCTCCCATCGGTGGACATTTTCCCGAGTTTGTTGCCAAATAAAAGGTTTTTGTTTTTATGTTTCATATTCTCAGCCATGCAGAAACATGTGTACGGAATTATGTGGTGCACTGTTTGGAACTGTGAAAGGAAAGCTCGTTGGGAATAAATAATTCCTTATGGCCTGAAGGTGTGAACCTAAATCGTGCATCATTTTTTTGATGTGCCACACTCAATGCACTTTTTCCTCATTTTTTTAAAAAGAGGTGGCTGACTTGCTCAGAGGGCTAATGCTACACTCATGTAAGAACAATGATCAAGATATCCTGAAATACAATTCATGCTTTGTTAGCTCAAATATTAAACCACTCTGTCATAACTTAAACATTTGATGGTCTCAGCCAAGGTCACCCATGGATATGCAAAACTACCATTGTAAAAAAAAATGGTATTTATTTTCCTCAAGTCCATCTGTGATGCATTGATTAACGTCAGTTCTTGCGCTCATTATACGTACATCGAAGCGCGCACGTAAGAGATGATTCTGATTTGTTGTTTGCAAATGACGCGTTACGGTTATTCTAAAGGAGAAAGAAAACTGCAATCGAGACGACGAAGCGTATTCTTGAATCTAATCGCGACCCCCAAGTTGTGACAATCGAATCGCTGGGGGATGCGGGCTTTGGGAGTGAATCTTTTCCCATGACTGCTGCTCACACAGCGTGAAGGACTGCCACCTTGTGGCTGATGGAAAAGAGAGGCCGACTGATGAACTATTGGCAAAAAGGTTTGGTTATTGTTCAAGGTTGTTCAGAAACAAGATGCAGTTCTTTTCAAGCTTTTCCCTTCATCCTCAGATGCTGATAACATGAAATTAGAATGCATTTTCTGACAGTATCCATCATATTGTCCATATTTATAAAGAGAAAATATGAATCGCATCTTGGCCTGCATGCACACACATGCAGATGCTGACTAAAATGTTAATTCTTTTGCTCAGGGGGGAAATGCCCATTTTGTGAGCACTGCGTGAACACTGCTGAGATCCTGGCTTCAGCTAGGATTACCACCGGCTGCACAGAACAACTGGCCATACATTCGTTTCTACACTTAAGTTCATCCGAGGAATTAATTATAAATATAACTCCAGACAAAACAAGCCAAGTGAGGTTATTCCAGAAGTCATTCTGGGGTTTAAACTTCTGGCAGCAGTCCCTGGCATGGCGTTGTGCTCTGAGAACTGATTGAAGGAGTTCCACGAGGACAATCATCCACCTCACGGCGAAAACAAATCGTCTAGGGGTGTGCATGTTACACCTTATGCTTACTTCTTCGTGTGGCATGGCAACCTGTTGTTTACGGCACGTGATTTTAACGAATTGTTTTGTATATTTGCAAAGATGAAACAAGTGTTCCGGGGGGGGGGGGGGGGGGGGGGGGGTGGGGAACGGTTGTGTCCGTGTGCACCGAGGTTTCACAGCTTCTTGCCTTAACGTTGAAGCTCAGTGCCGAGTTGGAGGTGGGGGGGTCTCTGTACGTGCAAGCACCCGCGCGCTTTGTCTGCATCCACGGTTCTTGCACTTTGTACATTTCGTTTTCCACTCGAGCAAATTTCTGGCGAGCAAGGGGGGTGGTGTGTGTTTGGTGAGATCACAGTTTTTTTGAACATTCACCACACGTGCAATTCAAAGCACAGAACAAGACAAATATCCACGTGACTCAGGAGTCTTGATATGTTTCACATTGTTTTCAGAAGTAACTTTAAACAAAGTTGCTGGCTTTATCCATTTATTGACGCTCCTCTTATATCTGTGGGAGAGTGTGTGTAAGTTGTTGCTTGAAATGTGCTTTTGTTCATGAAGCAATATTCACTTTCACAATTGGGCGGGTGTCTGGTGATAGGGATTTTGCATCCCAAATAAAGGGAATTTTGACACTGATGAAACTTGACGTTTTTCATTTGAAGTTTTCACACTTGGTGCGCGCATTCGCTTCTCATCGCGTTGAGTTGGTGGTAGTATGAACACACGCACACGCACTGGTTCAAAATCGTCTTAAATAAAAAAAATGATTGAAAACGGGCAGGAATTGACTAAAAGTAGTTTCTGATGGTATCCCAATATGTACACTACACCGTGTCCGTGAAGGTATCTATTAAAGCATTATTATTAGCAGTTTGAGCTAGGTCCATAATTTTGGGGGCAGTTTAGGACGATCAGAATCGCCTGAGCTTCTTCCCTGGCGATCTTTTCCAAAACCTTCAATAATTTCCTGTTCACCTTCGGATGCCACGGGGATGTTCTCTACCAGCCATTTGAGTAATTCCTGCCTGGGTGTTATCAAGGGGTGGCTTCTTATTGATCAACCATGTTATGGATGATGATGATCTGGTAATTGCTGCCCACTCTGATTAGGAGTTAGACACTTGCTGAACGTGAAGCATGCTACTCAGAGATGTGGCTTTTTATATCATCAAGTACTCCACCCCCTCAACTCTCCGTGAATGATAGAGACGTTGTGGAGAAAGCCCTTGTTTGCTCATGACCAGCTCTGGTTGGCAGCAGATGTTTCACTCCGAATCAGTCGAGCGGAACTAACTTTCCACTGGACAGGGTGCTTATGGCTAGCTCCGGTTTGGCAGCGGAGGTCTCACTCCAAATCAGTTCAGTGGCATATCTTCATCAGCCGTGTAATGCTGTGTGGAAGTTACCTGGCACATTGCTACGTATAAAGCCCTGTAATTTTCACGGCCACAGTTAAGGCCCTTCCTTCTATACGCTTGAGAAATGCCGTTTTGAAGGAAATTTAGCGCTGTTTTGAAGCATTCAAGCTGGCCTGCCTACGATTCATCCTGGGTTTAACCAGCCGACATTGTGTGAGGCGCTCAGATCCGTAAACAACACACAATAACGAGCTCCTTTGGCGGACAAGGCTGCATTGGCTGGGTCCCTTAGGCCCAGCCACCGCAAGTCCAATTACAGAAGCAGGATGAATGCTGACCTGAGGCTAAAGCTAATAATGAACATCACACAGAAATATTAAACACGGAATTTGAAGCATTCTACCTACGTGACTTTACCGAAAGAACCAAAGAGTATTAAACACGGAACTTAGCTCGCAAAAATAGGCACCACCATTGCACGAGGAAGGTAAGAGACTGGTTCAGTCTTGATTTGAAGCTTTCGTGAATGCAGGAATCCATAATCTCTGGTTCTTTCGGTAAAGTCACGTAGATAGAATAAAAGAAAACACGACGTTTCGGTCGCAACACAAGCGTCCGTCTTCAGGTGGGAAAATGATCTGCTGTTGTGGCTTTATATAGGCACGGGAGGGAAAGGGGGGGGGGGAGGAGTTTTGTAGAGTCGTGGCTGTCGGAGTTCACGGGGGAGAGGGAGGGAGGGTTTATAGCACGCAGGGACGGGTGGGGCTGGAGAAATTAGCAAGTAAAGGAGCTCGAATTAGTAATCGGACAAGACACACGGGTGGGTGAGTGAAAATCATAGCAGTTAAAACTTGGTGCAGTTTCAGTTTCATTTATTTGGTAAAGCCCTGTGAGCCATTCGGCTCTTGAATCGGGTGCAACTGCAACAAACAAATAACAAAAACATGAACAAGAAAACATCTTAAAGTGATTATGTGACTGTGCAAACAGAAAATCCAGGAAAAAACAGCAAAATATTCCTGAAAAAAGCACCGTACACCAACGCTGTGTGCAAAAATCCCAGTGGGATGCAAGTCAAACAACAACAACTACAAGACAACTTAGATTAAGGCCATCAGTCTAACTCCGTACTACAACAAACAAACATGGCCAAACCAAAAAACTTTTTGACATCACCAAAATAAAGCCATAAAAGCAATGTAACAGTGATTTTAGGAACTGTGACCGAATTTTCCTGAAACTGATCCGCCATCGCCGAGGTGTTGGTTCTGCCGTGTTTAACCTCCGACCAGCACCACCTAGCCAGTGAGCTTGAACACGTATGCCAGGCTCTCAGGAGGAATGGATATTCTGACCGCACAATCCGCAAAGCTGCATCCCCAACCATGGGTAGAGAACCATCTGAGGACCAGGGGCGGAGCCACAGGGGGGGCTGGGGGGGGGGCTTGGCCCCCCCTGAAATTTTGGGAAAGTCGGTAATCGGGATAACCGGATATCCGGCTGCTGCAAAATGCTGGCTGCCACCTTGTGCTGCCACCTTGTGCTGCCCTGCAGGCTGCCACTTTGTGCTGCCCTGCAGGCTGCCACCTTGTGCTGCCCTGCAGGCTGCCACCTTGTGCTGCCCTGCAGGCTGCCACCTTGTGCTGCCACCTTGTGCTGCCCTGCAGGCTGAGACCTTGTGCTGCCACCTTGTGTGCTGCCCTGCAGGCTGCCACCTTGTGCTGCCCTGCAGGCTGACACCTTGTGCTGCCACCTTGTGCTGCCACCTTGTGTGCTGCCCTGCAGGCTGCCACCTTGTGCTGCCCTGCAGGCTGCTTGAGCGGCAGCCTTTCGAACTTATCGAACTTATTAGCCACATCAGCGGCTCCGACCTGTTAATAAACTCCGCGTTCAAATCCAATAAAATTTGTTATATATATTTGTGGCGCCCATTGAAAAACATTACACTGGATATCTCAGAATATTCAAGTCAGCCCCCCCCAAAGTCAAAATCCTGGCTCCGCCCCTGCTGAGAACCCAATCAAAACCATCACCTTAAAATACATAGCAGGGGTTACCAAAAGGATTGCCAAAATCTTGAACAAACACAAGATCCAAGTTCGGTTCAATACAGTACACAAAATCCGTGATTTGATCCCATCGGTGAAGGATGCGATTCTGGACATGCAATATCCTGGGGTGTCTATAAGCTGAGTTGTGTCTGCGGCAGCAGTTACATTCGTGAAACGAAGCGACGTTTCTCAGACCGGGTTCGCGAACACAACGCGGATTTGAAACACTATGACACTACAAGAAGATAACAAAATAAATGTAAGCGATCCCCATTCCTACACTCCTCTACTAGCACCTTCTAATATTTGACTTTCAGTTCAACTTTTCGGACTATCGTGGGCTCGGAACGGGTACTGTCCCCAGACACCGGATACTGATTCATGACCAGTAAGTGGAAATAGGTGTTTTAGAACACTAATTTATTGCAAATATTGTAGAAAATCGATACTTTTATGTTTTTTAGGTTGGTTGATTGCTTATTAGTTTATAACATGTTTGGCTTGACCCACAATAATAAGAGACACGAATATGATGGTCATTGATTATAGGGGTTTATTGTATTCAACATTCTTGTATTGAGTCAGTTTGCCGAGTCAGCAACTATTAGACCTCATACCGTAAGTTATCTGCCTGCGGCTCAAATGAAACCAACAAAAAGCAGAAGTACATTTTTTATATTCTTGGTTCTTTCGGTAAAGTCACGTAGAAGGGAAACAATAAAATACAAATATATGAAACAATTATTATTCTCACGACGTTTCGACTGCAGTCGACTGCAGTCGAAACGTCGTGATAATAAAATTATAAAATTATCGTGACAATAATAATTGTTTTATATATTTGATATTTTTTATTTTTTTGTTTCCCTTCTACGTGACTTTACCGAAAGAACCAAGAATATGAATCCCTGCAGTCACGAAAGCTTTAAATCAAAATTTACATGTTTTTACTCCCTTTCAGCTTTTAACTTACTGAAAGTAACATGTGTATATTTCTGTGTCTCATATCTGGGTGTCTCTGGTTCTATGAGTGTATGTGTCCCCTTGACTGACTGTGTGTGTGTCTCAGTATCTGTGTGAGACGGCTATTCGTGTCTTTGTGAGACTATTCGTGTCTGTGTTGTTTCGTGATCCCGAATAACCTGCCGTGAATGTTGTTTTGCAGTAGGACTCTCTCGTGTTATCTTCGTGTTATCTCGTGTTATCCGTGAAAACAAAGGGCGCGTATTAGAAAGCAGATTGGATATGTATTATCTGGTAATATCGTGGATAATCGAGGATAATAGGAATAGGGGAGCAGGGAATATAAGTTTTCGCTGACCCTATAAGTTGTGGATGATAGGGGCACGGAAAGGACACGTTTTACAGTAACAGACAGCGGATTCCTCCGGGGAGAATTCAGGTTTTTTTCAGAAGATGCCACTTCCCACTCAAGAAATGCGTGCGTGTGTGCGTGCTCTCATTCTTTCTTCACATTCTCGACTGCGAGAAGCCCTCCTCCACTTGATGCTCGACGACTAGAAGACCTTCACTTTGTCAGGTATGATGAGTAAGGTCTCACTCGTAGTTTTTAAATAGAGGGGAATTTATTGCAGTGTGTGTGTGTAAATGTATATTGGTATCAAAGTTTGAGCGAATTAAGAACCTGCGAATGGTGTACGATAGTAAACTACTGTTAACGGGCAATGTTTATTCAGCACATTACAATGATCTTTTAACATAATTATGTAAATACAAATAATAATGCACAGCCATTGTCGTTCTCCTGCTGGAAGGCTTTATCAAACGGCGTCAGTCTCGGGGGTTATGGATGTTGCACCTCAATAGCCATGTGGGTTTGTAAAGTGGGACACTCAGGACTGTTTCAGATATCACTCGGTCCTGATGTTGACGCGAATTGAACTAATTTAGACGGCTCAATAGAGCAGTGTGCTTACGAATATTCTGCACAAGAGTGAGCTTGAACTGAACTAAATAGATACATTTCGCAGTCATTGTTGTATTCGAATGAACAAGGACAAAACAATATTTTACAAATGAAAACTGTGCTACATAAAAACATTATTGAGACGGCTTCGTTCATTACGTAAGATAAGTATCCAATTGGATCAATCACGTAAGATAATTATCCAATTGGATAAATCACGACTGGCTGCCTGGCTGGCTAGCGATCGGCCATACCCGACACGTATAGTTTTATTTTGTACATTTGTCTTATGCACATTATTTACAACAATTGGCTATTGTAAATAACCTGAAACAGAACTGAGCTTTGGAAAGTACCGATTTTGGACTTTAAAAATAACCAATGCCGACGAACGTAGTTTACGATGTTTAAACACGTCTTAGGCTTTCACGACCAATATCATCCATAGGATGTTTTTTTGGGTTAGATCGCGTAAAAATATAGATGTGTCGTTAAACCCGCCGACACATATTTACACGATCTAACCCAAAAAACCTCTATTAGTTTACTATATTACAGTACTTTTATGTCCTAAGACACTGTTCAAGATATGAATATGTTCTGCTTGAGAGCTTCCCATAAACCATTGCCAACTATATGTTTCAAATCCATTCTTAAACGTTTTAAGTAGTTTGCCTCAAGGTCTTAAAGTTCCCGACAGTATTATATTATATTTGGCCGCACAGTTTGTAAAGGGGATTTCCACGGAGCGAATGAGGGGCGCCTCCCACTCGGGTTTCAGGTCGTCGTAAGCTCCTCCATCACTCTCATTTACCAGAAGACTTCCACTTGATGAGCAACGTCTTGGCATCCCCGCCTTGTACACAAATAGAAATGTGTGCCAGAGCGTGTAATATATCATTCGTTTCCAATGTGTGAGCAAATTCAAAGCTTGCGAATGTTGTACCGATACTAAAAGTAGTGTCTCACTCAATTGAGTATCGAGGCGTTTCTTATTTCCTGTTTAGTTTTATTTGTATGTATTTATTTTGAAGTGATGTGTTTATCTTTCCTCTACTTTGCACTCCTATCGTGTTTTTGTGTTGTTGTGACGTCCTGACCCGCCCCTACTGGGCATCTGTGAAAAATAGCTTTATAGCTCACCAGATTCCTCCAGTCTACATAAATACAGCGCATTTCGATTCTGACTTTCCTGTAAGTGGCACGCATTGTAATTAACACACTTTCTTCCGTCAACCTACATCTCCAATTCCTCAGTGCGAATTCCCATAATACTAATAAACACATTCTCCTGCGGAGGGAGCTGGTAGAAACGTTGGGTTGCTCGGTCCATGGCCAGGGTCAACGGCGGCACCACGTGGTGTATTCCGCAAATATGCTCGACTGTGAGGGCGGCCACAAGCCGGCGTGAGTAGGTTAAACGTTAAGATTTATAAGGGCACCACGGGGTGACCAGCCCCTCCCCACCCAGCCCCACCCCTCCCACCCCCCACCCAGCCCCACCCTACCCACCCAGCCCCTCCCACCCTCTCCACCCAGCCCCACCCCTCCCACCCCCCACCCAGCCCCACCCTCCCCACCCCTCCAACCCCCCCACCCAGCCCCACCCTCCCCACCCAGCCACTCCCCACCCTCCCCTCCCCACCCTCCCCAGCCCCTCCCCACCCTCCCCTCCCCACCCAGCCCCTCCCCACCCTCCCCTCTCCACCCAGCCCCACCCCTCCCATTTTATCCGGGTGTCCGGATACACGTGGACAGACATCCACAGACATACACAATTAATCCCCTACCTCCTGTGATAATCCCGGTTGGGCTTCCAGTCCACTACGTTTCCTACCAGTACCAGTTAACACTTAACTAGAATCACAATAGCAATAAGACTCCATCTTCAGTACGAACAGAATACACCTTAATATCGTTAAGGATATCTTATGTTCACCAACTTATGAAATTAATCTAAGCTGCCAATCACAACCAATTAACTGGCAAACTCAAGCTATTAATTTGGAGTCCGTGGATGATTGTGCTGCCGTTTAACCTCCTAATGACCCGAACCAGGAAGCGCATTCACACCAAAGCTGAGCTATTAACTTCTAATAATAATGCTGGATGTAATCTCCAGCGAAACATTCAAATTACCAAAGCTTTGCTTGCTTTTCAAAACTCCGGTTTGCTGAAAAAAAATCTAATGGCATATTTTCCCATGCGATTGGCTCTGTTGGGTGGTGGAGGGTATAGTTGAAAATTGGCATTAATATCTGGACAATCTAACCCAAAAATAAACCAATTAAGAATTAAAAGTATTTTTGCATCCGTCTGCATTATTCGAATAAGACAGAATACCCGCAAGCCGGGCAGTGGTGGAACATGCACACCTATAATCCAGCACTGTGGAGGCGATGGTTTTGGTGGATCGCACAAATGTTGCCAAACTCCCTTAATTGTGGGCGTTCAGAAGTCATATTACCCTGGCTCGCCACAAGAGGGCGGCATGGGAAAACGTGGACCCCACTTGGTCCAAGCTGTGTGGCCCACTTGTTCATTTTGTATGGGAAAGCGTCCCCTGTACACGCGCGGGTGTTCTCTGGGTGCTCTGGTTGACTCCCATGTAAACACCTATTCACTGATAACACATTAATAGATGACCACAGAGCTTGGACCATGTTGTCGCCAGCTTATCGCATGGCTGCCTTCTTGCTCTGTGGTTTTTTCACGCCTCTGAGTTGTTCCCTCCGAGAATGAACAGTGTACGTGTCACATGTCGAAATTGTTATTATAATGCGATGTGAACCTTTTTTTTCATGAAAACACTTAATAACAAAAATGTGTATTTATGATATGTTGGGACATTGTTTTCTTTCTTAGAGTGGACGTATTTTCTCAACCGACACCAGCAAACTATGGGTTCTGCTGACAGCACGCCAACTGCAGAGGTAGGTGTTTTTGCTATGATTTATGAAACAGTAATAACAGCATTGATGGCAACACACGAATTATGTTTACCTCCTGCTCTGCCTGTTTCTATTTGTATAACTATTACAGGCAGAGAGGAGCCTCCCAGAGGTCAATGACACCCACTCGAACCTCTTGTGGGACCCAGTAAAACCATAGGACTACAAAAGGCAGATGCGCCTGTAATATGACAATGGCATCTACAAGCACTATGATGTGATGTGTTACTTATCAGGGTCCTATTAACCACAGTATCTATGTATGTTAAACTTCTTTCGCACTGTACATGGCCAACCGACAGAAGCTCTGATAAGGTTTCCCATGCCAGGGAGTGCTCTGTCTACTGCTGCAGTGTGAAGAGATCACGCCGAGAACCACGAGTTCACCGTCGAATGTTGCAGGATGAAGGGGCCACACCAAGAGCCAATTCCTGGGGTGGCAATACACTGAGAGCAATGAGGGCACGATCTACTTTTGGGGTTTGGAGAAAGGTGGCCCAGGGCCACTTGTGTTTTTCACAATTCTGGAGTGGGAGACGCCACGCCGAGGCCCCCTGTCTGCTATACCCACTGCAGTGACATGCGGTTGTGTGTGCACATTGTGCGAAGGACTGCAGGGTCACCATCATAGTAGATTCGCGCACCACAACCCTCTGAAAGGCTGGCGACTGAGCGTTAACACAAGTGACCTTTGTGCCGAGTGTTACGCGCTGAGTGTTGTGTGATTGTATTTTGTGATTCGGTGGGGACTAGCTGAATTTTATAACTTTTTTAGTTTGTATTGGTTTGTTTTCTTTATGCAGTTTGGTGATGAACTGACAAGTCGATTGTTGTTTAGTTAACAGCTTAACACCAGCCTTGAAGCGTACTTTGGAACCAATGCTGCTGTTAACGGTCAAATGGTACATTGGCGTAATTAGCACGGTTGACTATGTACAGTGCGAAGGAAGTTAAACATATATATACATATATTCCATATTACACAAGACCCCTGCTCAGACCTAGTCACCAACTGCCACCTGTTATAGATTTGCCACTGCACACAGATCAGTATTGATAGATAATTTACAAAACCTCAGCCATGCTTGGTGTTTATTTTTACACAAAGGATCCACCCGTCCCAATGCCAACCACAATCAACTTCGACTCCTTAAATCTGTACTTCAATCTGATAAGTGCCAAATAGCATCACAACGTTATACTAATTTGATTCACACTGAATCACGCACGTTTGAGCTATCGTGACCTAGACAAATGGACGGACAGGCGGGCAGACCTCATGGATTTGCCAAGTGTGACAAACCTTGATATACAGGGATATTGAAATAGTTGCAGATTATAACCTGCGTGGTACACAACAAAGTTTGTGCATTTTTGATCTTATCCAAATTTGGGTTATATTTGGGTAGCTTGTAGTGACCCATGTTTCTTAAACGTATTGGAATTGAAGGTTTAATTTGAACTTTTTTTTATTAATTCACTTGCTTTCAATTTGGAAATGGCTATTTCTTAAAATATATTATCGAAGGTGGAATGATTAATTAATTTATCAATTAGTATTCATTCATAAGCTCACGATAATTGTGACGACACATACAGAATAACTCTGGATGTCAAAAAAGCAGAACCATCTTTTGAAACTAATTGTTGGACATATATACTAAATGTTTATACCTTCATTAAATAGCTCAATTGTGAAATTAATCCTCAAATTGTTTTCAGGGAACGAAACTTATTTTAAGAATTATAGACACACTAATTGGCCTTTGGCTGCATTTGCAGGAATTTATTTGATTTTCTGCTTTCACGTCCTTAGCGTAACAGAGAAGTTTATAGTTTAAATGCTCCTCCATATGTGGAATTGTTTACTTTTGAAGTTGCTGTATTTTTTTTAGATTTTCACGGTTTGAATTTTTGTGGGCTGTTTGAAATGGATGTTGCTTCTTTGGGCTTCCTAATTCGGGCCTCTTCTTCAGGCCCCATCCCTTTTTGCTTCATCCCTGCCCGGTCCTCTTTAGGTCTGGCCCCCTTTCTGTTGAGCCCACGCCCTTTCCTGCATAGGCCCCACATCTTCCCGGTTAGGTCCCACCCGATTCCTGTTTAAACACTTTCCCTATTCTTCAGGCTCTGCCCCTTCCTATTTAGACCACGCCTCTTCCGATTTAGAAACCGTTTCCTATTTATGCCTACCCCTTCCTCTTTAGGCTCTGGGGTGACCTGCTTAGGCCATCTCCCTTTTTGCTTGAGCCACGACCCTTTCTTTTTGGCCTCACCCTTTATATTTAGGCCCTACTCCTACATGCTTAGGCCACACATTCCTTTCTCTTGAGGCCCTGCTCCTTTCTATTTAGACCACGTCTCTTCCACTTTAGGACCAATTTTATTGTTTATGCCCTGTCTTTTCCTCTTTAGACTATGCCTCTTCCCGTTTAGGCCCCACACCCTTCATTTTAGGCCCTGTATGCTTCCTCTTGAAGGCTCTACCCTCCTTAGGCTCCACAACTTCCTGCATCACTTAGGCCCAGCCTATCCTTCGGGACACCGGGGTTTGCTTGTTTGAGTAGTGATAGAGGATGTGGGAGCGAGCCTTCGACACTTCACGTGGCCTCAAAGTGCACCTGGCCTGGCACAGGCGTCTTGGGGACGTCACAGTCACTTAGTGGCGAACAGCCAGGGTGTTGGTATTATACTGGTAGGAACCTCCTGGTTACACCAGCCCACAGGGGATTATTGTGTCCGTCCGTCCGTCGTGCATCCAAAAATGGGAAGGGTGGGGCTGGGTGGAGAGGGGAGGGTGGGGAGGGAGGGGCTGGGTGGGGAGGGGCTGGTCACCCCGTGGTGCCCTTAAAACTCAACGTTTAACCTACTCACGCCGGCTTGTGCCCGCCCTCACAGTCGTGCATATTTGCGGAATACACCACGTGGTGCCGCCGTTGACCCTGGCCATTGACCGAGCAACCCAACGTTCCTACCAGCTCCCTCCGCAGGAATGTGTTAAGGGGCAGAAGTGTCCATGCAGAGTGGTAGTGGTGGGTGGGGACAGTTGGGGTAGGGGTGTGATGGTTTTACGACGACCAATATTATACCAATAGCCGCCATTTGCCACTTCGTGACGGTGACATCACCACGTGACCTGTGGCAGGCCAGGTGCACTTTGAGGCCACGTGAAGTGTCGTAGGCTCGCTGACAGGAGGTCTCGGGACAAACCCAGCAGGTGCCATGTGTTGGCTGACTGAGATGACTGGTAGATGCACCAGCTGTACCCCCTCCTGTGCCAACTTGCTGTATTTTAGCCGCCCAATGGAACATTATAACATATACATTATGAACGACTCTCGTCAGTGAAGCGTCGGGGTGGGCAGGACATGCTCAGACATCACTCATTACTGATGTGATCAATCTCATCTGAAATATGGAATGGCTATACAGATGAAATCCAATAAATCCGCGTGATGGGAGGCCCATATCACCAATCCTGTCATCTGCAGTGCACCACAGAGATTAAACCAACAATAATTTAGACACTTCGAGGCGACTTCCTCTTATCCACTTCATTGCTCTGGTCATAGAATCATGTATCATATGGATTCTAGGAACGTTTGCAGGTGGTGAAGGATGCACGAATAATATGAAACACTTAAAGAATTGGGTAAGGGGAGTTATATTAATGTCACTAAATGTTATGTTTTTGTACGTAACGTTTTTGTCATGCGCACCCACCTAAATTCCAAGGATGACGACGAAGAATCATTGGATGACAATACTTCAATTACTTCAGGTAATCACTTATCAATATCTGACAAGATTGAGATGAAACTAATTTGATCGTGTTCATTGTGTAACAAACAAGCAGACGTTTGTTACATCACCAAAAAAACCCCCATCGTCTAACACAACAGAAAAGCAATTTAATTACCAAACATGTAGAGAATACATTCAGATTATTTAGCCAACATACCTTAAGCTGGCAAAATGTGTACTTGTTTTGACTGAGCATAATGAACATTGGATAAGGGAATGCATTTGCTGTGAGGTATATTAGGTTGTCTGCTGTTACAGGCAAGAGCCCTCGCTGCACAATCTGAGATTCTGCACAGAATAGAAAAATCATGGAATTGTATTCTCGGCTGCATGGCTGCACTGTTCATGAAGGGTAATACCATGAGGTGTAGCAGCATACGTTTAATTAACCAAACCATGCTGATGAGACTCAGACAATTAATATCGGCTCAGTGTGTCCCGACTTCAACAACTGCCACTAGAATATGGAAGCCGAGAAGATGGGTTGGGGGAAAGATCTGAATATTTTAGCATTTTATTTTTTGGTGATGAAACAAAATTTCTACTTGTTTATTTTATCACTCATAATCTGCTAAGACAGCACGGAATAGTTTTGTGCAATTTCCTGACAATTTTATGTAGTTAATAATTGTTCTAAATAGGATTTAGCTCTTAATGTGATTATGTATGTAATGATTGTACCTCGTTATGAGTTGCAATTGCATGAATAGCATGATATAAAGCTTAAATTATTACTTGATTTGTGGTTGCTCAAAATATTTGTCTCAATGGTTTCACATCGTTCCATGAACGTTTTTATTGACCACGTGATTTTTCCCTTAGAATTGTTTGGTGGGAAAAATGTTTTCTATACCTGCGAAAATAAAAAAATATCGCTTGTGATGGACAACATTGAAGATCAAACTGTGAGTTTATGTTCCTATCATTTGATAAAAAAATGCGTACCTACTGTATGAACCCAGGATTAAAACGTTTTCAAAGTATGTGTAGGGTCATTGCGAAACGCTTCCCAAATTAAATGTCATAATTCACCGTTCCTCTTGGTACACACGCACAACAAGGGATAGCTAATTGCGAACTGCCTAAATCATCGAGTCTCTCCCTCACAAAGGGTGGTTAGTTAGGTACACAACCCGCCAATCAACATCATGGTGAAGCCAGGGTAGATCACTGAGGCAGACGTAATAGTTAACAGTCTCAATCACCCAGCCTATCCTTCACAACGAGTTGTTCGGCACACGCAATCATGGGGCATACCGGTCTGGCATTCGTCAATACAGACAAGCCCGGGCTTGTGCATAACTCACAGATAACATCGCCACCCTCGTTACATGAGTGTATGGGGGATGAGGTGGACACATCTGAGTGGCGAGAGAGGAAGTGTGAAAGGTGACTTGCTGGTAGAGTTGAAGGGGAAATGCAGAAAAGGGTTAAAACTAAAAGCTCGACACGTGCTAGTTTGGTCAACAAACACCCAAGAAGAATAACCACGAGTCTGAAATTACTTGGTGATTTTGCGTTGGCAATGGTGCACAAGAAGGATGGGGCCCCAGATGCAGGTAACGGTGGATCTATAGGGACCAGATGCAGGTAAAGGTGGATCTATAGAGACCAGATGCAGGTGAAGGTGGATCTATAGCGACCAGATGCAGGTAAAGGTGGATCTATAGAGACCAGATGCAGGTAAAGGTGGATCTACAGTGAGGGAAAAATGTATTTGATCCCCTGCTGATTTTGTACGTTTGCCCACTGACAAATAAATGATCAGTCTATATGATATTATGTAATTTATTATTATTTTCTATTTCTACGTGACTTCGCCAAAAGAACCAAAGAATAATTCCTGAAGTCACGAAAGCGCCAAATCAAGTTTGCACCACCTCTACGGGGAGGTTTTCAGTTTTTTTTTTCTCTCTCTGTGTGTCTCGTTGTTGTCTCTCTTTGCTTGTCTGTCTGTCTTTGTGTCTCCATGTCTGTGTCTTGTCTCTCTCTCAAATTTCACACTTAACTTCTAATTGAGCAATCTTTGGAATAACGTAATCAACCAGGCCATGTGTTAATTGTGTGTTGACCGACTCTCTGTGTTGCATTACATTACATTTCCAAATTTTACTAAGTTTGTTTGATTTAGTGTTGCCTTCTTCTCTCTCTGTCTCCCCTCGGTTGTTGCTCTCTCCTCCAGCGGTGGCACAGGATCTCTCATTGCAGGATCTTTCGTTGACATGCTAATTCCTCTAACTCCCCCCCCCCTCTCTCTCTGTCCCCCCTCTCTACCTATTTAAGGCCTCGACACAGAGGCGTTGTTTCTCTGTGTGCCCATGCGTGTGTGTCTCTCTCTCTCTCTGTGTCTCTGTGTTAACTCTTTCTGCTTATGTGTCTGTATATGTGTCTCCGGTTCTGTGTCTTATCTCTCTCTTAAATCTAGCAATCTTTAGAAGAACGTAATCAACCAGGTAGGGTGTTGACTGTTATGTTAGCCGACTATCTGTGTTGTTTTGCATTATATTTCTAAGTTTACTAGGTTTGTTTCTCTTTCATTTGTACCTGATGATGATTGCTTGCGTTGCAATCGAAACGTCGTATGATATTATGTAATTTATTATTTTCTATTTCTACGTGATTTCACAGAAAGAACCAAAGAATACTTCCTGATCAGTCTACAATTTTAATGGTAGGTTTATTTGAACAGTGAGAGGCAGAATAACAACAAAAAAAATCCAGAAAAACGGATGTCAAAAATGTTATCAATTGATTTGCATTTTAATGAGGGAAATAAGTATTTGACCCCCTCTCAATCAGAAAGATTTCTGGCTCCCAGGTGTCTTTTATACAGGCAACGAGCTGAGATTAAGAGCACACTCTGAAAGGGAGTGCTCCTAATCTCAGCTTGTTACCTGTATAAAAGGCACCTGTCCACAGAAGCAATCAATCAATCAGATTCCAAACTCTCCACCATGGCCAAGACCAAAGAGCTCTCCAAGGATGTCAGGGACAAGATTGTAGACCTACACAAGGCTGGAATGGGCTACAAGACCATTGCCAAGCAGCTTGGTGAGAAGGTGACAATAGTTGGTGCGATTTTTCGCAAATGGAAGAAACACAAAAGAACTGTCAGTCTCCCTCGGCCTGGGGCTACATGCAAGATCTCACCTCGTGGAAATGCAATGATCATGAGTACGGTGAGTAATCAGCCCAAAACTACACTGGAGGATCTTGTCAATGATCTCAAGGCAGCTAGGAGCATAGTCACCAAGAAAACAATTGGTAACACACTACGCCATGAAGGACTGAAATCCTGCTGCACCCGCAAGGTCCCCCTGCTCAAGTAAGCACATATACAGTACATACCCGTCTGAAGTTTGCCAATGAACATCTGAATGATTCAGAGGACAACTGGGTGAGTGTTGTGGTCCAATGAGACCAAAATGGAGCTCTTTAGCATCAACTCAACTCGCCGTGTTTGGAGGTGGAGGAATGCTGCCTATGACCCCAAGAACACCATCCCCACCGTCAAACATGGAGGTGGAAACATTATGCTTTGGGGGTGTTTTTCTGATAAGGGGACAGGACAATTTCACCGCATCAAAGCGACGATGGACGGGGCCATGTACCGTCAAATCTTGGGTGAGAACCTCCTTCCCTCAGCCAGGGCATTGAAAATGGGTCGTGGATGGGTATTCCAGAATGACAATGACCCAAAACACACGGCCAAGGCAACAAAGGAGTGGCTCAAGAAGAAGCACATTAAGGTCCTGGAGTGGCCTAGCCAGTCTCCAGACCTTAATCCCATAGAAATCTGTGGAGGGAGCTGAAGGGTCGAGTTGCCAAACGTCAGCCTCGAAACCTTAATGACTTGGAGAAGATCTGCAAAGAGGAGTGGGACAAAATCCCTCCTGAGATGTGTGCAAACCTGGTGGCCAACTACAAAAAACGTCTGACCTCTGTGATTGCCAACAAGGGTTTTTCCACCAAGTACTAAGTCATGTTTTGCAGAGGGGTCAAATACTTTTTTTCCCTCATTAAAATGCCAATCAATTTATACAATTTTTGACATGCGTTTTTCTGGATTTTGTTGTTGTTATTATGTCTCTCACTGTTCAAATAAACCTACCATTAAAATTATAGACTGATCATTTCTTTGTCAGTGGGCAAACGTACAACATCAGCAGGGGATCAAATACTTTTTTTCCTCGTTGTACAGGGACCAGATGCAGGTAAAGGTGGATCTATAGGAACCAGAGGCGGTGGGATGCGTGAGAGATACAGATGACAGATGTGGAAAAGGTATGGGCAGGGTTAAGAGGAAGTAAGCTGGGAGGTAATGCGAGTTGAGACCCGCGTGAAGCCATAGGCTCCCCCTCGTTAATAAGACAATTCCATGTTCTTTTTCTCTCCCTGGATTGAGTGAAGCACACTGAATATACATGATGTTTAACCAATGGCATTAACAAAAAATGTGAAGGTAAAACGTGGACTTGTTTGTTTTAGACTGATGTCATTGTGAACACAACCTCTTCGAGCATGAATCTTAATATTGGAGGTATGTCATCTGCATTATCCAAGAAGGCTGGGCCTGCCCTCCAAGCTGCTGTGAACAAGAAAAAAGCGTCCCCTGTAAATGACATCATAGACACAGAGACCGCTGGATGTAATCTATCTTGCAAGCGGGTGTATCATGTATCTCTGGACGAAAGTTCGTCAGATGGATCACTCGTGGTAAGTAAAACTGTAAGGAAGTACTCACATCATAACGAAGTACATGTGATTGACTTGGATAATTGCTTTGAGGTACATTAAACTATGCTGGTATTCGACTGAAAATGGCCAGATGTGCAGTGAAACTTCGCCATGGCAATACGAATAAATGTTTTAACTGTGCAACGGAATAGCCCCTTTTGTGAACAAAGTGACTTTCACCTTGGCCAATGCATTGTGGGAACAGAAAAAGCAGGCCTGGATCTAGCATAACTTTAGGGACACAAAAAGCATGACCTCAATTAATGTTGTGAGTGTTTGACAAGCAAATTAACTAAAACACGTTTTTATTGACTTAAAGCTTTTGTGACTGCAGGAATTCATATTCTTTGGGTCTTTCGGTACAGTCACGTAGATAGGTTCACAGAAAATAAAAAAACTACGACGACGTTTTGATAGCAGCAACACAGGCGTTCGTCATCAGGAAGACGAACACTTGTGTTGCGATTCAAGCGTAGTTTTTTTGTAATTTTTTTTGTTAGTTTCTTTGAACCTTTTTACGTTTTTAGTATTCTTCACACTAGCTTTGACCTGGTTAGGGGTTACGGAACCTTTCTGCACAAATCATCTCACTTGAAGAGATGGATTTTCTGGCAGAGGCAGATGTACAGCAAGTGTCAAAAACCATCCATTAGCATGTGTGCATACACGTATGACTTGTGCATTATTTACACAATGTTTTTAAAAATATTTTTTTATTGAACCCAAAACAGCGATCATGACAGTGCAAAGACACATGCAGGGTTTACAAATCCACGAGTTGCGCCCTCTGGAAAATTATTCTTCCGCAAAGTGGGGCTAAGTATGTTTGTTGAACTTCTTTCGCGCACCGTACGTGAGCAACCGTTCTTATCGTAGGTGTGGGGGAAGGACAACAAACTAAACAAAACAAAGTAGTTCTAAAGAAATTAGTTTTCAATCTTGATTTAAAAGAGTATAGCTCCCAGTGGCTTCCTAAGATCGTAAGGAAGAACGTTCCAGATGGCCGCAGAAGCGCATCTGAAAGCGCGCGATGCGGTTGGCCATTTTTGTTCGATGGCCAGCAGCCAAAAGCCGCTGCTGCGAGGATGACAGGAGTTGGCGTGATGATGGTTTATACTCCTTGCGTTGTTCTCGTAGCTTCCGCAACAATGCGGAGTGAAACGTCGGGACTTTTTTTGCAAACTCATAATATCGGCACAGCTCATTGGGTGTGTAGGTAAGTCTGGGTGGTCCCCTGTGGGAACCTAGGGCAATCTGGGGAAGAGTTGGAAAATGTTGTCCTCCTCTCATCCATAAGATAGGTTATGTGCGTACACTTGAATTGGATAACTTTTTTAATACAGCAATCTGAGTCCAGCTGGCGGGGCTCTCCAGATCTGTGTCCACTTTTGCGGCGGGATATGATCTTTTTTTGGGTTAGATCGCGTTAATATATAAAAGTGTTGTTAAAACCGCCACCACCCAACCAACAGCCAATTTAGAAGGGTTGTCACGTAAACAGAACATGCCAATTCGTCACTGGTACAGCACACCGGTGTGTTGGAGAGCCAAGCTACAACATTTACAATCTGAGTACGACGTTTCACCAGTAATAACAACCAGCTTCATCAGGCGACAGCCAGATTTGTGGAGAAGTCCACCTGTTTTGTTCCTTATCTAGAGGCGTAGATGTGGTGAGCACGCTTGTGCGGGGGCGGGGGGGGGGGGAATTAATGAATGCATATTTATATGGCAATCAACGTACATTTATACGACCATGCGCATTATGGCGCGACCATTGATCGCTAAAGCCTACGTGCTAGACATTGATATGAACCCAGCTGCATCTCCCATACCTTTTTTGAGTCTTTGGTTTGTTCCGCTCATCTCTATTTACACAATGTTAATATTGTTTCAGAAAATGACAAAAGTGGTGATGGATTGCCTGAAGTTGGCTGATAAATCCAAGCTTCAGTCCATCTCCCTGCCAGCACTGGGTACTGGGATTTTAAGTTACCCACCACAGAAAGTAGCTGCCATCATGCTTGGAGCTGCCATCCAGTTCAGCAAGGACAACCCCAACTCCACTCTCCAGCTTATTCAGTTTGTGCTCCTGCCCTCCAATAAGAAAGTAGTGACTGTGAGTACAATTTTCAGTGATGAATGCCTTCATTAAAATTATTTTATAACCTAACTGTATGTACTCTTTAAAATGAAACATGTTTAATTAAATTGCAATGTAATATAAATGACGAAAATATGAAAAGTTCCAAATTATATATAATGCTTTCGTTGTGTGTGGAGTGTGGAATTTTAGAAATGTATTTTGAAATAAAATATATGACAAGATTATGATAAGAAATAATATAGCATAATTCAACAAAGCGGTTTCCAGTTTTGCAAAAAGTTGAGTTTGCAGAAACTTTGAAAAAAATGTTGATTGCAGTGACCTATCTTTCTCCCCATAATTCCACGTGGCCTTCTGAGACACAAACAAAATCCAGCACATTGTGGCGCATGAGGAATGGACCACACGTTTAATGATTTCCTCGTGCAGCAAGGGAGTAAAGTGTGGTTTCGTGAAAGTCCTTATGTGCTGTGCAGTCCATCAATGCACGTGTGTACACCAGCACGCGATAACTGAGATGGGCCTGTGGGTGGCTGGCAGGGTTATTGAGTGACCTGACTTGTACACCAGTCACGTGGTTAATGGCGACTCGGTTGAGGATTGCTGTGTGTGACACACGTGCTGTTGCATTTTACAGATTGACCACAATAAATGTGTTTGCACTCGATTTGGAGCACCTGCCCACGTCCTTCATTTCGAGTGTGCAACAACATGAAACAAAACACTTCTAACAGCATACTAACAACATATAAGCAGCAAATGAACAACATGCGAGCAAAACACTAGGATACAGCTATTTAAGTTGCGATTCACAATGCACTATGCTAGACAAATTACCCAGTGTTGCACTACTCTGTTGTCAATGATTACTCCTGCTTTAGACATCTGTATTTAACATGTAATCAGTTATCTACAGACTAATATGCGAGTGGTGTTTGGTGTCAGGTGGGATAGGAGTGTTATATGAGTGTCTGTTGAGGATGATGCCATCGCATCTATAGGACGGGCTGCTGTCTGGCCCACTACGCTTATAAAGGTGCACAGAAACACATCACAGTATTGTATTACAATACATACTATGGAAAGGAAAAATTTGACATAAGCTGTTGGCATATATGTGCTGCAGTACCCAGATCCTACCTTGACTTACCGACATTTTATGTATCTTCTTTGGTTCTTTCGGTAAAGTCACGTAGAATGAGAATAAAATAATAAATTAATAAAATAAAATAACACAATAAAATTCTCACGACGTTTCGGCCACAACACAAGTGGCCTTCATCAGGTGAAGGGACGAGACTGTCTGGAGGACAGCGTTCCAGCTCCAGCGCTGTCCTCCAGACAGTCTCGTCCCTTCACCTGATGAAGGCCACTTGTGTTGTGGCCGAAACGTCGTGAGAATTTTATTGTGTTATTTTATTTTATTATTTTTTATATTATTCTCATTCTACGTGACTTTACCGAAAGAACCAAAGAAGATGAATCCTTGCAGTCACGAAAGCTTTAAATCGAGACATTTTATTTCTTAGGAACTTTCCACAATGACTGCTCTTATCATAAATCTTTCGAATTGTATTTTTTTTCAATGAGACCTCAGATACTTAAGTGAGCATAGAAAATCTAGCTTATGTTTGAATTAAAATTCAAGTTCTACCTATGCTTTAATAGAAATATAATGAAAGTTATACCTATGCTTTATTCGCAATTGTACAGTATTGTATTCGGTGTATTTATTTGTTAATCACCATTTTCAGTGGCAGCATGGCATAGAGATCAGAGTCCTGATCTGGCATTGCCGAGGCAGCTGAGTGTGATCACAACGCTTTCTCAAATGTAACCCAGTGACTGCACACAAACCATCACATCCAATTTCAACCTGCACTAATTCTGGCCCTGAAAATGTAAATATTATTTTTTACTGTCTTGTGACAAATATGTATTAGGGTGGGTGAGAAAGCTCTGCCTCCTGTGTGGTGGAGCAAAGGTCACGTGACGGAAACTCAGTGGTAACTCTGTGGTATCCACTTCCATGGGCCAGTCTCTGACAGAAAGGTTGCACTGCTCTACGAGTGACTGATCCTCCATCTGTTGACATGACACCAAGAGTACAACCGAGATACACTTGGTGACAATAACTAAGAGTCATGTTTAAGAATCAGTGATATTTGTGTTTTTCTCTCCAACAGGCATTTCAAGATGAAATACAAAATTCTTCACAACGTAAAAATGCAGGTAATTATGTGCAAGTGCATTGCAATTCATACATTCCACGAGACAGCTACAATCTATGAGGTTATTTTTCTATAAATAATATACAAGAACAGATTTGACCAAATCTTACTTCCCAAATGGTGAGTGGAATAACAGACTTTTTTTCAAAGTGTGGTTGGTCCATTACAAAATTGAAGAACGTGGAATGGCCACTATCAAAACAACGAGTGCATTCATGGCCAAAAAACGCTACGTGAATTGGGCACTGTATGTTTCGTATGCGTGTGTACATTTTGTATAATTTTATATATTGCTACCTATTTCATTAAATGTCTTATTTTCTTTCAGAATTGGATAATGACCGAGAAAATATCTTTTGCACAAAGGAACGTAAAAGAGTATCACTGGTTATGGGAGCAATCGAAGATCAATCAGTAAGTAAATATGTTTAAATACATATATAGACCGGCAATAATCGTAGTCTCAATTGTTCAATGCAATCAGATCTTTTTTTGTGGAATAATACAGTGCATCCATAATACAGTTCATTATTACACTTGAAGATCACCAAGGCACTTTCGTAAATATATAATGAAGGTGGCTGCCAAGTAGGTGTGCCCGTTTTCTCGCCAGAGTGAATTAGGACTGGTGCCAAGGAATAACAACAACTTCAAGCATCTAAATGCAGCCACATCTCAAGTCAAGAATGGGAGGTGGCAAGGGTGGAGCAGGCAACAAGCGGCCTTCTGGCTTATTCTGCTATTGACACATGGACTAATGTTTCAACTGCACTCTACTTGTGTGGCGTTTGCTCCTACATGCCGATTCGCTAATCTGTGGTCCCTCGTGTTATAATAATTACCCGTATTAAGGCGCACACATTAACAACAATTGGACACCAAGTACGATTGACAACTCAGAGATGCGGAGCAATAGCTTCAAGTCCCGCTAGACTTGAGCTGTGGATGGTGAATGGATGCTGCAAATGTGCAGTGCGAGAGAGTTACATATTATAGGTGTAGCCACAGAGAAATGCCACTTAGCCAGGGCAGTCTTGGTTCTGGGTACATTGAGCAGATTATTGGACATACTCTGTGAGACGTGGCGATTTTCTCTGGTCAATGGCTTGAGAAGGGTGAAGATGTATGGGGGAGACCTTGAGAGAGCTCAGTGGCACAGAATTAAAATATTGCGAACCCCAAATGCATTCAAACGCATGATTAGCAAAGTTGGCTATGTCCGGTGCGAAATAAGTTCAACACACGTACATGCATGATGACTTCATTATAAACGAATCTATTTGTTTAGCCTTGAGACTTGTCCCACATCAGTCGTCATCCATGCCTACCACAGGCTCTTTGGCTCTCACTCACATCCCGGCTCGGCTAACCCCTCCATGTAATGGAAAGCGTGGCAAGGTCATCCTTTAAGACTGCCAGCATCAAGGGGCCTGGGGCTAGCAATTCTAAGCAGGCTAGCCACTTGTGATTTTAGTGCGTGGTCCAGGTGGAGGGTATCGCCTTCCTCCACTCTGGCAGCCAGCTGCCAGCCTTGTGCACTGCTGCGCCACTGGTGGCAGCCGTGTCGCAGCACTCTGGGTATTCTGGGAGGGCAATTCTGCGGCCGTGGAAATCTTACACAGATACAAAAAAAAACTAAGATTTTCCATATAACCACGTAGCTGTAGGGGGAAATACTGTTCACAAATATCTGTGAAGGCAGGGACAGCACAGTCTACTGATGTCCACACACCAAAACAGATGCTGTTTAAGGCTTAGTCGACCAACCTTGGGAGGGCCCGCCAATGCTTCAGATGTTACTCGCCACTGACGTTAGCCATGGTAAGTGAGTCATATACGCATATATACATACATCAATGCATTTATTCTACATCAGCATAGATTGCATAAAGTAACAAAACACAAATTAAAATAGGAGACATGGAGATATCTTCTCACCAAGTCAATTTACAGATTACATTTTTTAGTGGAATTCGAAAAATGAAGGCATGAGTATAAAGTGACAGGATGTGTTGATGGTATAGTCATTATAAGAACCAACTGGCAACAAACGTACCAAATAAATGTTGCACAGATAGATTAAAATAGGAGCAAGACAAAGTCACGTCGAAGTTTGTTGAAAAAAAAGGAACATTTTAGGAACAAAACTTAAAACACTATGGCATGTATACCTAGAATGAATATTGAAGGCAGACTGGGATCAAATTTATGAAATAATGAGGCAGGTAAGATTATGCTGGAGTGCTTTTAGAAAGTTACGTTTGAAAACAAGAGGTGGCATACCAATATGCCCGAAGAAAGTGTTTAATTAAATTACAAGTTTCTGATGTTCTTTTGCAAAATGCATATACTGGAATGTCTCCACACTCTTTCCACGCTCAATCGGTTTGGTATAATTCCACAACGCTGTCTGTAGAAATGTGGACCACGATTTGTAGCAAAGTGTTGCAGGTTGTGGCCCCATCATGGCTCTGTCCTAGCTCCTCCCATTTTGTACCATCTCAACATTTAGAAGTCATGCACAGTGGATTTTTTTTTCTCAAATGGCACAATATTTGGAATGCATATTGAATGGCTTCGCTATTATGTTCTTAAATTTTTCTAAACACCGGGCAATATGGCTTGCAATACAATATTAAATAGGCTGAATTCTTCTGGTAAGCTAAAATGGCCACATGTATCAAATCATACTTGACATTCATGATGTTGGTGAATTGTCTATCTCAAATAAGTCTTTGTCTCAATTGTGTCAATGTTGATGATTTTCGTCAGACTGATGTTGTCGTGAACACAACCTCTCCAACCATGGATCTTAATGTTGGAGCTGTGTCATCTGCACTGTCCCGAAAAGCCGGGCCTGCTCTCCAGGCTGCTGTGAACAGGAAAAGAGGTGCATTTGTAAACACAGGGGATATTGTAGACACGGAAACTACTCTATGTAATCTCTCCTGCAAGAGGGTTTATCATGTATCCCTGGACATGACTTCCTCAGATGAATCTCTTGTGGTAAGTGACTTTCAAAAAGGGATGTACCAAATATCCATTTGATCCATGTCATAGCAGGTAATATGCACTGATTCAAAACATCTATAGGTACGCATCAATTTCAGCTTTCTAAAAGCACTTCAGCTGTCTCTCTTTATGAAGTTAGTTTCCTCTCATATATTCATGTATTTCATTCCCCAATGTGCACTATAATACTTATGCCATCAGAAAATCTAAAATGATAGCATACAAGCAGGAACCTGCAGAACTTTGGCGGTTAGAGGATGGAAAATATTTACAGACTGATGATTTCATGAACTGATGATTCCACTTCACCACCCCAGGTCTCGTGACATCATCATCCCAATTTTTCTCTCCATATCTCGTGATGTCATCAGCCCCTTTCCTCACAACCTCACCTCAATCTCACATGACGTCATTAAAACATTCTTGCTTCTGGTTTTTATATATACATTTAATGACAAGCATCACTCCACGATTGTGGTATTTCATTTCTGCTTAAACATTTTTGGAAACAGGTCTGCTTATTTTGTTCCAGCAATTGGTTCCGCTTTTTTGATGTCCACATTTATACCATCTGGTTTGGAAGCTTGCCCCTCTATCATTTTGCAAAGGGCAGAGTGTAGTTCTTCAAGTGTGACATCTGACACTTCCTCTTCATCTGACAGTTGGTCTGATTCCTAGGCTATATGCATGTTTTTTTCCCTTTAGAGCTATGAAAAGACTTCCTCCACTATTGTAAAATGATATATCATTAGTTATGATTCCATCTTCCTCACTAATGGCGACCGTTTATGAATAGCTAATTACCAATCTCCTTTTTGCTGCTTTCATGCTCCTGTTATTTGCTGTGACATTTTCAGTCTTGTTTTGTGTTATATTCTTTTCTGAATCAGTTCTGTGCAATTCAACGTTTCTCCCTCTCCTCTTATCGGGTCCTTTTATTTTTATTTTAGATTAATTTATCTGCTTTTTTACATTACTCTAGTTTCAATGCACTAATCCATTGCCATGCTCGTTATTGCATACTTAAGAGTTGTCACATTCATTTAATAATTTTACTTCTCTTGGGATTTATGTTGTTGATTAGTGTTGGACGAATTGTTGCATTCACCTGATCTAGATCGTTTAAGATGTTAACAATGTTGTTGTTGCCCGGAATTTACTTTGCCCTCGCTCTGGTTATATTGCAGTAGAACTGCATCACGCCAGCCTGTGATTACTTGTGGGTTGAATTGCATAAGAACAGATTCCCTGACAATCTGTTGTTTCATCTTCTTTGGTTCTTTCGGTAAAGTCACGTAGAATGAGAATAAAATAATAAATTGATAAAATAAAATAACACAATAATATTCTCACGACGTTTCGGCCACAACACAAGCGGCCTTCATCAGGTGAAGGGACGAGACTGTCTGGAGGACAGCGCTGGAGTCCAGACAGTCTCGTCCCTTCACCTGATGAAGGCCGCTTGTGTTGTGGCCGAAACGTCGTGAGAATATTATTGTGTTATTTTATTTTATCAATGTATTATTTTATTCTCATTCTACGTGACTTTACCGAAAGAACCAAAGAAGATGAATCATTGCAGTCACGAACGCTTTAAATCGAAATCTGTTGTTTGTCTTGTTAGAATCAAGACAATGTAATTTCTAATTTTACCATGTTGGCTTTTCTATCCTTTTATATACTGTACTCCTTTTTAAAAAATGTGTTTTGATGTTTTTTTGTCTCTGCTGGCTGTGAACCCTAGAAGACTTTCTCTTCTCCCTGCAAAACCAAAATCACCGATCATCCACTCATCTTTGCTACTTTTGCACGCTTCACCCATTATGACGTTGTATCGTGTTTTACCCTTTCTTATGAGTTAGTCAATTTCCTTACACATCTGGTCTGTATAAATGACTGTCACAGCTTGTTCTGGAGCATATAATTGAATGCTACTGAATGTATAAGCAGTTCCGGAATGTTTGGTTACATATTGTTGTTTATAATGATTTTCAGAAATTGAAAAAAGTGGTGATGGATTGCCTGAAGTTAGCTGATAAATCCAAGCTTCAGTCCATCTCCCTGCCAGCACTGGGTACTGGGATTTTAAGTTACCCACCACAGAAAGTAGCTGCCATCATGCTTGGAGCTGCCATCCAGTTCAGCAAGGACAAGCCCAACTCCACTCTCCAGCTTATTCAGTTTGTGCTCCTGCCCTCCAATAAGGAAGTAGTGACTGTGAGTACAATTTTCAGTGATGAATGCCTTCATAAAAATTATTTTATAACCTAAATGTGCGTATTTTATTTATATTTTAGTTTTGCTTTAATTGCAATGTGATATTACTAAAAACGAAAAGAAATGATCCCTATAAAATCTACATGCATTGTGTGCAGTGTGGTATTTTAAGTACATAAAATTCAATCTATAAAAAAAGTATCACGATAGCATTTAATCAATAGCAGTTTCCAGCCTTGCAGAAAGTTCAGTCTGTAGAAATTCTTCCAAAAAGTCTGTTGTAGAGACCTACTTACTTTGTGCTGTTACCCTCTAATAGCAGTCTACTCTCTGTGAGTACAATTCATCATGTTATCTATGCAGTCAGACACTCATCTACAGCAATGGACTCATTCTTTCTTAGGTTGGAATGTCATTTTCAATATGATAACAACTTTAAGTTATATGAGTGTATTGTAAACTTTTGAAAGGTCTGCATCTGAACACTGATAAAGCATATAATCTGGCATTATACTTTTTAAAACAGATGCATCTAAAGTATATGTAGACACAACAAAGGTGATAAATCACATTCAAACAAAGTTAATTTTAGGCTTGAAATATGTTCACATTCTCTAGCTGGTGTTGTTTATTCCAAATTTGTTGAGCAGACATTGTTAGCAAATCTTGGTTGATAATGGTACACTTTTGGCCATCCATGTACATCCTGGTGGTATGGCTGCGATCGACACACCATCTACTGCCTCCTTGGATTGGTTGAAACAATGTAGCATCCAACTCTAGCATGTTTACAAACTGTTGTTTTTACCTCCTGCCATATACGAAAGTATAATTGTAGATTTGGGGGGTGCATTTAAAATAAATTCTGCTGATTTCATCGAGTGGCTGATGGTGCCAAGTGTTGATCCAGCAATCATTTAAATTTGGACAGCTACTCGTGATCAAACTGGATTCCTGAACTTGCAGCGAGTTGGTGGTTTCAGCTCAGTCACCAGTGGACTCAACTAAAACACCCCGTCTTGCAAAATGTGTTTTTTTCAGTTAAATTGAAATGTGATGGACACCCTTTGGAGGGGATTTGAAGTTGCGCCTTTTGTGTAGATAAAGAGGCCTATTGAAATAAAGAGGCCTATTGGAATCACTGTTCTTAGGTGATGCTCTCCGATACAGGGGGATTTACTAATTGGGAGAGTTGTAAATGAAATGTCTTGATCTCACGAAGATGTTAATGTGGCATTTTTAAATATAACTAGAAATTAATGTATAAAAAACAAAACTCAATGCAGCCTGCTATTCTGCAATACTGTTAAACCTGGACTATATTTTAAGATGGATAATGTATCCTTGTTTGTGCACTCCCTTACAAAGTTGTGAGCCACCTGTATGAGTGCCCATATTTTGTTCATGTGAGTCTCTTTGAATATACAGTATTTGGTTTCTAAACAAATTTACCTTATAATAATTTTAAAATATTTAGCTGTATTTGTACTTTTTATATATATAAAAAATATTTTTTCGTATCACGTGGACATCGTTTGTTGGGATGGACAATTTGCGCATTATATAAAATTACTCGAGGGTATTTTAAAAATGAAACATTAATTTTAACCTTTTATATGTTGTAAAGTATAATGGTATCACTGTTACTATATGCACAATTACAGTACTTTAATAATTCTCTTTTCAAAGGCATTTCAAAAAGAACTAAAAAATCCATCAGATTCACAACAAACAGAAGATGATTTGTACATCTCAGACTTGGATGATCAGGATACATTTATTACAGGTATTTACGTATACATTTTCTAAAGCTACATAAACAGCCCTTTGTCATTCCACTGCTGGATTAAGTGTTCTCTATACTATGACATTCATGAGTTGTATAAAATAAAGTACACAATATATGTAAAGTATTATGTTAGGTATACCAATATTTACTTATTTACACTTTCATAAGGTGCAGCAGACCCAACAAATGACTTCAGAGCACCGTACAGTAAAATCGATAAAATAGTTATAGTTGATCTAATATATCATAGGCTATAGGTATGTTATTAGTTTATTTCTAAATGAAGGAGTGCTTTGTGAGTTAAGCACAGTCATTTGAATCGTGCACGGAGCTCAATTGGAAGGCAGTGTAGGTCTAGTAAAGTGTGGGAGATTGGGTCCCGACGTGAACGACTGGTCAGTCAAAAGCCATGCAGAGGCGTTCTGAATGTCCTGGAGTCGTCTCACTGGGCACCGTGGAACACCCACGTGCAGGGCATCGGCATAGTCGAGGCGAGATTTCACAAGGCTCTTCTGAACGATAGCAGAATATCTGTCAGAGGAATGGTTTGATATTTTTGATTGTCCACAAGTGAAACACTTGGGTTTGTACGCCTACTTTTACCTCGGGCAGAAATTGCAGTGAATAATCCAACACCAAATTAAGGTGTGACAGGTAAACAGGACTGAGAAAGCAGTGCTGCCCAGGTTCATACCGTCTGCATTAAAAGAGCAGGGTCGATTCTGTCAAACGCTGCTGAGAGGTCGAATAGAACTAACGTAGCCGACCTCCCTTTGTCTTGCACGTGGAGTAACACGTGGACTACACAAAGGGTGGGTAGCTGTCTCAGTGCTGTGGAATCCAGACTGGTTGATGGCCTTAAAGTCTGGCAGAAGACAAATGTCCCTGTAACTGTCGGGCGGTATTTTTTCAATGAGTTTGCAAAAAAATTATAGATTTGATATAGGTCGATCCAGGTTTTATTTATTTTACTATCAATACTTATTGAACACTCCACGTGTCACCGTTGGAGAGTTCTCTGTTATTTAAGAGGAAATTGTCTGAAACCACAGATACTCATTCGGAAAGGAGAAACACAAAAAACGTCAAACACACGAGACTCAAGATTGAATACACAGAACCCTGTATAATGTTTAGGAAAATAACGAAAAGATGAATCAGAGAACACAACATCCAAGTATGGTTTTCTGGGTTGGGATGAATATTAACGCTTTCTTCTGTCATACGTACTTTCACATGGATACTGTAAGTTAATACAAAACATTTTATTACAATATTTATAGTAATTAATTTGTCTTATTGTATTCCATAGATTGGAGAATATGGAAAGGTATGTATACTCTAGAATGTACTTTTTATAGAGAAATTTGGGGTATAACACTTCCGTTTATGGGGGAAATCCATACTGCAGGTAAATATTTAAAAGAAAATACGACTTTTTCAAATAACATTTACATATAATTTACATCTAATACCTTTAATCAACATGTAATAATTTTCGAACACTTAATATATTACTGTTGTACAGTTTCATTTAAGTCAACGGAGCTTTTATCAATTTATTTCCTGAAAATAGTGACTTTCTATTCGGGAAGTTATAGTTCTTATATGGTACTAAGTTTTCGGAAAACAAATACCGCTTCCACAAGGTGTAGCCCGGACCGCCACTCCCGACCACCGTGGATGTGAAATGGCATGAAGATATACATTTGGTTTAGCTGTAAACTAAACGTGGGCAATAGCAGAGCACTGGGAATGCCGAGACATCCAAAGGTCGCAGCTTCACTGATTTCCATTCATCGTGTGAGTAGTGTAGATTAGAATCGCTAAGTTAAATTTTTGACTTAAAACTTTCGTGACTGCAGGAATTCAAATTCTTTGGTTCTTTCGGTAAAGTCACGTAGATATAAAAATAAAAAAAATAAAAAAATGATGAAAACCGCTTGTGTTGCGACTGAAACGTCGGGGTTTTTGGTTTAAAATTTTTTTTATCACCAACTTGTTTGATTTTTTATTATTTTTATTCACTTTATTTTTCTTTTCTTTTTCTATCGACGTGACTTTACCGAAAGAACCGAAGAATATAATTGCTAAGTTGATAATGCACACTCTGTCACCTACCTAGCTTCGTGTGCAAACAAAGTTCCAGATGGAGTTTTTGGCAGGGGGTTGGGGGAGTTTTCCAGCTTCCAGGGGGTTTTACTGCAAAGTTGTGAATTGACATTTTAAAAAAGCCACAGTAAACGATGAATAAGGAACAATGACAGAATGTATGATGCATATATTACTTCAAGAATACCAAATTACTTAAATCAGTTATCAGAAAAGCCTCAGTTTGTCTAATGAGCATAAATGTCTCATTTTGGCATGGCAGCTTTGTTTTTCATGTTAAGTTATATCCACATCGTTGCCTGAGGTTTACTCCGTCGTATCAACACACACGTTCTTTTGCATTGTATTGATGTCAGCTAAGACATATTCAGTCTAGCTGAAATGCATACATGTTTACAGATATTGTGAAAGGTGTATTAAAGGATGAATTTGGTGGTGAAAATGTGGAAACCCAACAAAACGAAGGCAAGTCTGTTTTCAAACCATGCCTTGACATGTATTTGCTATGTAAGATGTTTGATAGATTTTAACATATGTGCACATGTTATTATTTGGCACAACCGAGTCAGATTGTGGTACACGTGAAATGTCACATTATTTCAGGCAGGTACGTTGTCTGCCTCAGGTAGGTATAGTAGTTTTTAACAGGTTAAACAACTCGTAAACAACTTAATTTGATCGTGGCCATTTTTCATTTACACTGTAATGCACACAGACATGTCTTTCTTGATTTAAGGATCAAAGCGATTCAAATGTACAAAATTATTTGCACTAACCTTTAATTTAAACGGGCAAAACCTCACGGACCTGCACAATACAAATCTAATTCCAGCCGAGCCATCTCGCACCACCGCACCCACACTATCCCACGCGGTTCCGCGTGCCCTGTGTGACTCTCTGTGCGCTGCAGCAGCGGCCGTGCAAGCACCGTGCGCAAAACCGAGTTCCAATTACAACTTGAAAAATTGTAATTTATGTAAAAAAACTAGTTTTTTAGCTTTTTGAGAAGTTAGTAATTTTTCTTCTTTGGTTCTTTCGGTAAAGTCACGTAGAATGAGAATAAAATAATAAATTGATAAAATAAAATAACACAATAATATTCTCACGACGTTTCGGCCACAACACAAGCGGCCTTCATCAGGTGAAGGGAGCGAGACTGTCTGGTAGGACAGCGATGAAGGCCGCTTGTGTTGTGGCCGAAACGTCGTGAGAATATTATTGTGTTATTTTATTTTATCAATTTATTATTTTATTCTCATTCTACGTGACTTTACCGAAAGAACCAAAGAAGATGAATCATTGCAGTCACGAAAGCTTTAAATCGAAAATTAGTAATTTTTGTTTAAACTATAACCTCGTTTCAGATCTCATGCTGAAATATCCAGAAAACTGGGAACCAATGGAAGGAAAACAACACCAAATCATTACTGTGGATGAAAAATCTAAAGAATATGCTTCTGTCAAGAAGAATTTTACGGCAGCTGGCCCAAGTGTGACACGTATTATCTCGGTAAATTAAACATGAATGTACTATAATCTACAAATTGAATCTGCAATATATTAACTTGAAGCTATTGCATGTGCCTGCCTGCGTGAACATTTTGAAAATAAACACATACTTTCTACATTTATATGACCAAATTATGTTCGGCACAAATGTGAGTATAAACAATGATAATTACTAACAATTCAAGACTCAATTTTTTTTAAGGATGTTAGAGTAAATATAGAGCATAAGCAAGGTAGAGGACCCATTTCTAGCTTTGATACAGAGATTATGATCCCTGAGGCATGCGACAATTTTAGCTAAACAGCTAGGCAGGTTTGCTGTCCTTGCAAAGCTGACGGAAGAAGGGAAGTCAGAGCCAGAAACATAAACATTATTTTACGCGGCGTTTAGAAAAAAGCAACAGGCTACAATTTGCATCTCTTTATTTAGTAAGCCATTCCACGGCATCTATGATACTTGAGTGGAGGAAACTTGATCCACCAGAATATACGCGTGTTGCATTGGGCAGTCATCAGTGAATTTCCTGATGATTTACACCTCGCTGCATTCACCTTTTGGTGAGTTCTTGATCTTCCAATTATGGAGCAAATATCCACATCTTTCACGTGTTGTTCAGACATGGCTGAGAGTGGTCTACTCTTGTTGGGGTAGAAACCCGGCTGTTCCTTCATCAGGTCTTCGATAAGGTTTTTGTTCGGAACCCCACTGTTTTCCCACATCTCACACCGTTGGGTGGCGGGGTCCTTTTTGTATGAAATAAAATCGAGGAATATGTTCAAAATGTCTCGATTTTAGACAGAAAGGTGGTGGGCATTTTATGTCAATATGCAGAAGATTTGGATATTCCAAGATTTCATTATGCCCCAAAGTGTTGCAGCATCTCGTTGGATGTTCGAAGGTGAGATGTCCGCAAGTACTGGCATCCACTGCAGACGTAGATTTTATGGAGTAGCTTACAACGTGCAGTGCAGCATGGATTTGAGTGTCAACAAGCCCGATGTGAGAGCTGATGCACCAAACAGGCGTAGCACTATATTCTGCCGTAGAATGGACCAGGGCCTGCGTTGATGTTCTTAGAGTCCCAGTATCACGTCTCCAGAAGGTCCATGCCAGCTGTTGAATGACATTGACCCTGGATATCAACTTCTTGCCGGTGGGTTCGAGGTGATGACAACAATCAAGGGTGGTTCCGGAGTTTGGGGGTTTTTGGTCATGGTTAACAGGGGCATAACAGAATTTGACTTTGAGTGACCTCGAGGCTTCAATGTTTCTCAAATAGAAAGACACCAATGTCTTCGCCGCATCGGGCTTCAAGCGCCATCCTTTGAGGTACTTCTGAAGTATTAATAAGTCCACCTCCAGGGTTCTCTTCCATTTCCTTGAATGTATAGGCTTGGGTTGCCAGTGCAATGTCATCTAGACTAATTAATTTGCCAGACTTTGTTGATGAAATGCTATGTAGAGGTTGAATAAGGTCGGAGCCAAGGCATACCCTTGTGAGAGCCAATTATTCAATATGCTCCCTGGAAATCGTCTCTTCAGGTATTGGGTTAATCTTTTCCAGGAGATTCTGCTCCATCAGCTTTAAATAAGTGCTGAGGAGCGAAATTGGTCGGCATCTTTTACTGCTTTCAGAATGTCAATGATCTTGGTGGCCTTCCACTCTTTAGGGATGATGGCAGATGAATGAATATTTGTTAAAGATTCTGTCAGCCATCTGTTTGCACTTGGGCTCAGGTTCTTGAGGAAATCTAGGTAAGCGCCATCCATGCCTGCTGCTTTGTCTACCTTATCCACAGAGACTGGTGCAGACAAGCGGGAAGAGGGTTGGTTATCTGATAGAGCACAGTTACAGTTCTTTGTGGACTTCTCACCTGTTATTTTTGTCCATCGGCTTTTTGGAGTTGCCGATTTCATCTGGGCTAACTTTTGGTGGTTTATAAGCCACTAGTGTGGCTCCACCCAAGGGGAAAATAAGTCTCCACGCTTTCTGGATTGATCTTCAGAAATCAAGCCCCTTGATGATTTCACACCACCTCTTTTCAAAGATTCCAGAATAACCACCGCGGTGTCTGGGTTTTGCCGAAAGAGCACCTCGCTGCCTGAAGATCAACAGGGCGTGAAAGCTTTGGGAGCCCTGTGCGATGTCATCCATTGTGGCCTTCTGTCTAAAATTGACCGCCGTTGGTGGGATTAGGTTGTTTCTTTTCTCAACTGCTGCCGTATAACCTGACCAAAGAGCAGACGGGAAATTCAAGTGCAGTTTTGGTACCGATTGAATGACCAGGCCAATGTGGACCACAGTGGGACAATGCTGGCTGTCTTGGACTAACTTGAAAAATAACAATGGGAGGCCATCCATGCCTCGTGATGTGAAGAAGAGGTTCGGGGTGTAGAGTGAAAAGCACAACTGCAGATAAGTGGAGTTGCAGAGGCAAACAGAACTGAAGAGGAACAAACAAAACTGCAGGGAGACGAACGGACCTGCAGATAGACATATGGAGCTGCAGAGAAACGAAAGGAGCTGCCGATAGATGAACGAAGCTAAAGAGAGATAAGCGGAGCTCCAGAGACAAGTCTCAAAAATGCAAATATCCTTGAACATATTCCCATATAGTACAGTTGCTTCGTTTGCACCATGGATTACAGGGTCAGCGAATGTAACCCCTGAATTTCACGTGGATTATCTGAGTTCTGATTTTTTTTAAATCTAACATCTAATTTAAATTTACTGCATTTCAATATTCCAATTTCACAACGATGTATATCACAGCAGCCTTCAACAAGCGATGTAATGCCATGATGTTCACTGTCATCCATTTCAGATCAAAAGGATTCAAAATTTGAGATTGTATCGTGCATACTTGGTCATGGAGAAGTCAATAGAGTCAAAAAGCACTGGAGGCAAATATGAGCATGTCCTGTTCCATGGCACAGACAATGACGCTATAAAAAATATCAATCACAATGGATACAATCGTGTTTACAAAGGGAAAAACGGTATGTGCACATATTTAAACAAATGTACATATTACTGCATTTCAGCATACACTCCAACTTAATGTTATTCCATAACACAGGCACGCTTTGTATAATGCACAATCACACGACTTATTATTTGTGCTGTGTGGACAGATTGTTGTCATTCTTGTGCATCATCTGTTGTGTGGCCTTCACTAGCCTGAGGAGATTTCGCTCATAGAGCCTTTACAAGTAATAAAAAAAACCCTTACAAAATTAAGTAAAATATTACTGAATTTGTTCATGTTTGTATTATAACTTGCAGTCTAAAGTTGATGTTTTGTTTAGAATTTACATGAGATGAATGCTACCTTTAAAATGTAAGCAAATGATTGCACTTACGGGATAGTTTAGTATAACTCTTGTACACAATGTCAACTTGTATTTGTCAACATTGAATAGCAACATACAGATATTTGATAGTTAACAGAATATATCAAAATTATCCTTAAACATTACTGTGGTATGGAAAAGTGTGAGCCAAAAAGATGAACATTACACACTCTTTGAGTCTTTCAGTAAAGTCACGTATTTTATTATTTTTATTATTTTCTACCCACGTGACTTTACCGAAAGACCCAAAAAGTATGAATTCCCGCAGTCACGAAAGCTTTAAGTCAAGATTTAAACATTACATTTGAGCACGTCAAAAGCAGAGACAAAATCAAATTACCCTTCAATTCACCATTGTCATCCTTTGTGTCATCTTCACCTTCGTCGGTACATAGTTCTGGTAGTCCAAGTGGTGGTCACAGTGGTTTTCCTGTGGTTGTGTGAATGCTAGTCCTGGTGGTTCCTCTGTTTAAAGTAGTAGTCATGCTTGCCCGAATGGTAGTCTACATGGTCTCAACAGTCTCAGTTGTTCAAGTGGTTATCCCAAAGGTCTTGGTGGTCGATCCTACTATCAGTTGGTCATTGTCAATAAAAATGTATGTGTTATATAAGCATCGGCCATTTGTTTCAAAGGTGATTCCACGAGGCCAATTAAACCCCACTAGCCCTTCTTGCCTGAACATCACAGTGGAATCATGGTCGAATAAGACCAATTCATGGACTAGGCATCAGCAGTGCTCGATTCTGCCTGAATCATCATTGTAGCTGGTCGGAATTTGCAGTGCCTAACAAAGTTAAGCATACACAAAGATTAACTAAGCTATTTTACCATATTCTGAAAATAAAATTCCATTATTTTTCAAGAATCTTACAAGACAGAATCTCTGTTTAAATCCCGTACAATTGAATCTATATTTTAGCATCGAATAATGATTCCTGTTGCAACTTTCTATTTTGGAATTATAGGACTTGAATATGATCCCTGCAGGAATATCCCAGCTCTGGTCAGCTACGGTTTCATCAAGTGCTCCATCCTACTCATGTTTCTCTCTTTATTTCACCAGAGTGATTCTGATCTGCCATCAGTGATGGCTTTTAGAATACAAAGCTTGCTGTGTATTCAAATTATGCTCCGCCAACAGTGTATAGCAAAGTGTTGGCACGTAACTTGTTTTCCTACTAGTTAGCTTGTGCTCAAATTCGTACCGTTATTTAACTAGTTCTGTGATCATTCCTGTGATTCGTGTTCATTTATGCAACTAATTCGTAATTGTTGTGCTTGACAGCTACCGTTTACGGTGAAGGGACATACTTTGCAAAAGATTCTGGATTTTCTCATTTGTATACCAACCCTGACAAAAATGGACACAGGTTTATGTATCAGGCCCGTGTCCTAACGGGTGCATGCTGTGTCGGAAGTTCAGAAATGAAGGAACCCCCCCTCAAAATAAAAAATGGAACTGAACGTTTTGACAGTGTTGTCGACAGTGTAACGTCACCCAGAATATTTGTGGTCTTCCACGACGACCAGGCCTACCCAGAATACCTGATAGAGTATCTATGAATTTTACATATGAGCTCATTAATATATACATTTTCAACCGTAATTTAAAACGAAATTATGAATATATGTAATAAAGTAATGTAATACGTCGAGAAGTAAACAAGTCAGATGTTAATGCACCGGAGAACTTCGCCAAATGCGGTTTTATCGAAGGTGTGTTTAGTTGTCCAACAATTCCTCAAACCACGGTTGGCGATACTAAGGCCTTATGGCGATACTAAGGCCTTATGGGAAATAGGGGGTTGGGGTAACCGCGGCCACGGTCACACTCGTCAAAGCCTAACTAAGTTGCCAAAGTGGTCGCTCCAAGGAGGAGGGGATTTGCCCACCCGCTACCTCCATGGGCCGGTGGTGGTGGTGGTGAGAGAGGGAACGTAGATGCGGGGTGATTTGAAATTACACAAAGCTCCATACCGTGGTTAGCAAATTGGTAAGCCGAAGGAAACCCGTAAATACATAAATACCGTGGATGCGAAAAACGCAGTTGGTGAGGGATTGCTCTACACGGTTTACTTAATGAGGTCTGTTTTCCGGAACGCAGGTGATATTTTAGCTATACTCGGTTTGACGTTTGTAAGATCGTTGCTGTTGGGCTTGCGAGAAGTGAGTGCTGCATTCGTGTTTAGTGTGTTGTCCTTCCCCCACACCTCCGATTAGCACAGTTGGCTACGTACGGTGCGAAATAAGTTCTACATACAAGATAATTTCGGACCCAAGAATGCAACCCTATTCTCATTATTCGTCGAAAGCGGTTTTCCCAACACGGCATTTGCCAGGAATGTAATCAATGTGTTTGGCGAGGATGTCCTGTATTTTACATAAGTTTTTCATAATTCATGTATATATTTACATTATTTTCCAAAGTGCAAATCTGAAATAACAGTTCTCTAGTTTTACAATATTATTTTATTACAACTGACGCAATGCAAAGCGGCGAATTACTCTTAAACTGTTTCAATTGAAGACTAAAACAAAAAACTGTAGGATCTGCTTGTAGTTTAGTATAGTTGATTTGATTAACATCAAACCCTAAATTAGTGATTGCACGGCATGTCCCAAATGTGTGTGATCTGGTGGTGGTCCTCACTGAAGATATTGTCTATAACTTATGCATGCACACCGTAAATGTAATATATATTTCAAATCTGGGCACATTTAAATTGGACATTAGGGAGATGTAATTATTTTAAGAAATGTAAATGTATACTTAATATATCAGATGTATGACTCCATAGCCTTTAATTACAGTGAGATCAAGTTAAGCGTTGCACAATAGATCCGGTGTGGAGTATGATATATTGTGTAACCTCTTGGGACATTCAAATAAACAAAGTTGGCCCATTTGGCTTATCTGTCTGGCATTTATTAGATTATATATTAGATGTATCTATCGATGGGACATGATAAGTGAAACAAAACTCAGTTTAACACGTAGTTAAATGGTGACGTCACCCTGCTGCTCTATTTAAGACCGAGAGCAAGTGAGGGCTTTACCATTCTGGCGAATTGCCCGATGATGCTGGATGTAATTGCCAGCGAAACGTCGTACTCAAACTGTAAATGTTGTGGATTCACTCTTCAACACACCGGTGGGCTAAAGTTGTGAACTAATTGCCTTTTGTCAACGTGACACTTTTTTTGCTAATTGGCCGTGTCGGGTAGTGGAGGGTTACGACACATTTATAAATAACGCGACTAACCCAAAAACCTTTATTATGAAACAAAACTCTTCACGTCGCGTGAAACTTTTGTGGGTACAAGAACAAGAAAAGGCGGTGTACAAATGTAAGCATAAAATAAGTTCGTAAAAATGGTATGCTTTTGCTCAAACTTTGTGCTTATTTACTTAAACCATATTATTTGACTGCAAATGCTTGTGAAAATGTTTTACTTGGAATTTAATATAAGCCGTGATTTTTTTCTTCTGAGCGGTACCATGTTTACAATGTAATGCATGCTTTTATAGTGTGGAACTGGTTCCCCTCGTTTTATAAGGGTTCGGTTTGTGTAATTTCACGTACATTGCGGCTCGCCTGTTTATTTATACACAACATTGTCTATATGTAATGCCCTTTAAATTAATAAATATGCGGTGGCTACGGGGTCGGACGCGGGACAGCATTGTGGGTACTCTATGCACTACTCGGTAGGCAACTTTCTCGTGCGGTTTTGCTTTGTGCGCTAATTTTTTGGAATGCATCTACCGCACAACGCGAGGGAAACCGGAATAAGATGTATGTTGAACTTCTATCTCGGTGAGTAATTTGCAAGTTACGTCTAGGCTCAAGATCTTCCTCTTCCACCTCGGTTTATACTTGACTGTCGCTGAACAATAAATCCCTACTTTCTGTACAGTGATTTGAGACGGAGTTTCATTTAGATGCTGTATGAATTCAAATTGTATTGTACTTGTGTGAGATACAATGTGTTTTTAACTTGGAAAAAAAAAACCCGTTAATATCCATCCCATGGTGCATGGAATGAGCCGCGTATAACCAGCGATGTTATAAGTATTGTACACATGTTATGAGTATTGTACACATGTTATGAGTATTGTACACATGTTATGAGTATTGTACACATGTTATGAGTATTGTACACATGTTGAGTATTGTACACATGTTATGAGTATTGTACACATGTTATGAGTATTGTACACATGTTATAAGTATTGTACACATGTTATGAGTATTGTACACATGTTATGAGTATTGTACACATGTTATGAGTATTGTACACATGTTATGAGTATTGTACACATGTTGAGTATTGTACACATGTTATGAGTATTGTACACATGTTATGAGTATTGTACACATGTTATGAGTATTGTACACATGTTATAAGTATTGTACACATGTTATAAGTATTGTACACATGTTATAAATATTGCACACATGTTATGAGTATTGTACACATGTTATGAGTATTGTACACATGTTATGAGTAGTGTACACATGTTATGAGTATTGTACACATGTTATGAGTATTGTACACATGTTATGAGTACTGTACACATGTTATGAGTATTGTACACATGTTATGAGTATTGTACACATGTTATGAGTATTGTACACATGTTATAAGTATTGTACACATGTTATGAGTATTGTACACATGTTATGAGTACTGTACACATGTTATGAGTATTGTACACATGTTATAAGTATTGTACACATGTTATGAGTACACGTTATAAGTATTGTACACATGTTATGAGTATTGTACACATGTTATGAGTATTGTACACATGTTATGAGTATTGTACACATGTTATAAGTATTGTACACATGTTATGAGTACTGTACACGTTATAAGTATTGTACACATGTTATGAGTATTGTACACATGTTATGAGTATTGTACACATGTTATGAGTATTGTACACATGTTATGAGTATTGTACACATGTTATAAGTATTGTACACATGTTATGAGTATTGTACACATGTTGTAAGTATTGTACACATGTTATGACTATTGTACACATGTTATAAGCATTGTACACATGTTATGAGTATTGTACACATGTTATGAGTATTGTACACATGTTATGAGTATTGTACACATGTTATAAGCATTATACACATGTTATGAGTATTGTAAACATGTTATGAGTATTGTACACATGTTATGAGTATTGTACACATGTTATGAGTACTGTACACGTTATAAGTATTGTACACATGTTATGAGTATTGTACACGTGTTATAAGTATTGTACACATGTTATGAGTATTGTACACATGTTATAAGTATTGTACACATGTTATGAGTATTGTACACATGTTATGAGTACTGTACACGTTATAAGTATTGTACACATGTTATGAGTATTGTACACGTGTTATAAGTATTGTACACATGTTATGAGTATTGTACACATGTTATAAGTATTGTACACATGTTATGAGTATTGTACACATGTTAGAATCATTGTACACATGTTATGAGTATTGTACACATGTTAGAAGCATTGTACACGGAAGATGTCTCCAGGCGTAGGAGGGGGGGGGGGGGGGGAGGCTGGAGGGGATCTATCATGCAGGACCCTGTGCCTGTCAAGGTGAGGGATTAAAGGAATCAAGTGACTGGTTCGGGTTTCCCCCCGTTTGAAGGAGTGACCTCAGAAAGACATCGCTTAGACTGCAATATTTACATCCTCACAAACAGGTCGCCTGAGCAAAGCCTCAAGCAATTACGCAATCAAACTCATTACACTCGAAGAGCAGAGATAATAAACTTAACGCAGGGTGAGTTCGTGCTATTTCTACATCAACATCGTGTGCAGTGTCCGCCTGCTTGATGGAACAGCTATTGATGCAACACATGAGCATGTGATCGACAACTCACCTCACACACCAGCGTCAACACAATATAGTGTGCGCCAGTGTCTGGGTCTCGTGGGAATAAGCTGTAGACTTTTCCCTTGTCACTTCTTGATGACCCAACAACGTCGTATCGTGCAGGATCAAAGTGTCACGGGTATCTGTTTGATAAGTCCCCCTGGTTGGCCTCCGCTACCGATCCTTACCTTTGTCCGTGCTGGTCTTGGCCCTGGGACCGAAGCGTTGCTCACTGGAATGGTGTCAGGCCGCGTGCATGCTGACTTCGCTCATGCACTTGCAGTGAAGTGGCTCGATGCGGCTCTGCCACCTGCAGTGCAGTGGCTCAACTTGGCCCTGGCATTTGCAGTGGAGTGGCTCGACTTGGCCTCATCCGCGACTTGTTCTCCTTCGTGGAACGACTGTACTCCTTGGATGCGCGCAGTCATTCAGCACCTCGGCGAGTGAGTGGTCTCAGCCACGGGTGGAGGAGGCCTCTCGTTTTATTCAGAGCGACCAATGCCGTTTTACTCCAGCGCTGTGGTTCCTTCTCCTCTCCGCTCACGCGCCTCGCCTTCACCTTACACTCAGTGCCCCCTTTGCAGGCGCAGCATTGGCGTGGTTAACCCCCGTCCTCTGCGGGATTAGATTCTTTATTTCTCATATCACCAACACCCCCGATATATCCTCTCGTGGGACAATTTGAAATGTGGTCCCATCACAGGAGCGGATGGGGCTCACGACAGAGGGAGGTGTCTAGATTCTACTGTGGAGGTGGGAAGGAAGGCAGGCATCGAGGTACTGAGATACAGAGAATTGAGACAGATACAGAAAGACAAAACATCGAGTTTGACAAAGAATCACGGATACACCGAATTGTACAATTGGACCATATTGTTTGTAGCCTGTTAACTATAGTTTGTAGTATTGGTTATAACTAAGATGAAAAGCCAATTGTTTGCACAGACAATGTTTACAGGAGGATCCTGCATTTAGATGTTTGGCTAATTTCATGAATGAGTAGCATGTCGGAGGAAACTGGAGTACTTGGAGAAAACGAACATATGAGGAATAACATTCAACTCTGCCATCGTGGATGTTTATTGAACTTCTTTTGCACCATAAGTAGCCAACCATGATCACCAGAGGTGCTGTTTGTGTTTAGTGTTGACCTTCCCCCGCACCTCCCGATTAACACGTTTGGATACGTACGGCGCAAAAGAAGTTAATATATACGTGCATACCCACATACATCTGCTGGCTAACTTGCAGACCCATGCCTACAACACCTAGCAAGTCCTGATGGTCACCCGTGCAAATGATAATCAGGCTTGGCTCTGCTTATCTTTCGAGATCCAACGAGATTGGGCGCAATCCTGGTGATTTCATTGGCATAACAATGCTCCGTATTAAGTAATACCCGAATTTACGTCATTCACAAATACAAGCGTTTCTCACTTCATGAGCATGATACGTTCTGTAAAAATTGCTCGTTAAGCGAAAACTCGTTAAACGATAATCGTTTTCCCATTCACTCCCACGTTAAAAGTTGAGTTACGTTCATGAGGCAAACTTGTATGTATTAATGTATGCGTATTGTGTTTCTGTTATGAGGCAGTGCTATTAAATGTGATGAGTTGTAATTGTATTTTCCTGCTACTGCCAAACCAGTGATATTTTTTCTTATACTCTAAATAGTTGTGAATATTCTTTCTCAACATTTAACCCCCCCTCCCAAAATACAATTTTCTCGTAAAATAAATGAATGTACTGATATGGCAGTGGGAACTCGTGCAGATAATTACACGCGGATATCACGAACGATACCACTGGGTGTGTTTTTCACGCTCTCGCATCCGACAGCGGCGAGTGAGTGGCCGTGTAGACCAACCTTGAAGGCGGCGTTGTTGACGAGTGTGCTGTCACTGTCATTCGCACGTGAATAGCAAGTCTGTAGCGCGCCCCACGTCAATCTCCCCAGCACTCCCCAGCACTGCCCTCTTACTCACTGAACGCAGCACACAGCTCATTATGTTAATGACATGCGAGCGAGCGAGCGCGCGTGTCGATGCTGCTGCAGCTGCTGCTGCGAGGTCACAATGCGCGTTCGCGTGCGCGCGCGCGCGCTTCCCGACCGACCGACCGACCGGCGGCTTCGTGACGAGCGAATGAGCCACAGCGCTGTAACGTCAAGAGCGAGCCGCGCCTAATGCCGTTGAAATGAATGCGGAATAGCAAGCACACTGGCGCTCGGCTCATTCATTCATCCTGGCTGTCCTTGCCGCTAGCATCAGACGGGCTGTGCTTTCATCTCCGAGGAATTGGCTCCTGCTACTGCTGCTGCTGCCTAGACGTTGATTTGTCGCTCAGAACATGGCAGAGGTTGCCGCTGCTGCTAATTCTGCCGCTCGGGCTGATGCAGGCGCCCGGGACAAACGGGTCGGATCGGACGATGGGGATCCGACTGCAGGGAGCGCGGAACCCCGCCAGGCTGCGGGAGGAATCGACGCGGCCCTGGACGAAGTCTGCGCCGAGGGGGTCCCCCTGGAGAGCACGATCCGGTACCCGGGGGTCGCGGCTGCGGCGGGGCTAGCGGTGGGGATGGGGTGGGCAGGGATGGGATGCAGGCGAGTGGGCAGGGGAAGGGAGAGGCGAGGGCACGGCTAGACGAGGGCAAGGGGCGGTGAATACAGCACGCGCAGGGAGACGGTGCTGGGCACGAATGGGCATGGCAGGGCAAGGTCGGCCCCGATGGGACAGGGCAGTCCTGGGAAGGACACTCGGGAAGAGACACAGGGCCAAGGCGATTGAGCAAGTATCATACAGTATTAGCTACCTGCAAGAGATGGACTAGTGTACTGTAATCACAGTTAAAGACAAACATCCTGGGCCATTGGTGGACATTCTACATTCCTATGACGGAGCCGAGTCTGAATAATGCACATGAATGTAATGACTTCAACAATTTGAGACTTATTTTAATGACCCCAGGGGGGTGATGATGGGCCGAACTAACGTTTCCCCAGGGCTAATAATCAAGTGCCGTGCCACAGCGCTACCCGGACAGAAAAAATAATGTCGATAAGACATTAATAGCGTAAAAAAAAACATCAACACAAAGCTCCAGCCAGCTGGTGTGACCATCATCAGCCTGTCGGTCATGCTGAGTGGTGCAGTGGTACAGCTCGCTGGTTGGTGTGTTACGGGCAGAGGATGTGGCTCATGATGTGTGGAAGATGATGAGCATGTCTGTACATTAGGACGGCCTAGGCTAAGCTGCTTGCTGTTCCCATATTGGTCGTGCTGTAGATGTTTCGTGCTGGATTGGTGACAAGTGACGGTGATGATGAGGGCAATAGATAACCTTTAAATGCGATTACGGTGTTTAATACAACACGCTTTAAGCATATGCTACCAGTGCAGTATATGTAGTATGGATTAAACATTGCAGTATCGCCATACACTAAATCTGTGCACATTTGTACATATTAACTTCCTGTGGTTACTGTATTCTAAACAGACAAGATTGTACTGTAGTATACAGTCTACGATATTGGGTGACTGTGGCATGCTATGGTGTGAGACAGTTATATGATGTAGTGGCGCTCTACAGTTGTTTATGGGTCCCCCACGGCTAATCATCCCCCCAACTTAATAAATATTCCCAAATGCCTGGCATCCACTAATTGTGAGGAGATGGAAATGTTATCCATAGGAAAATTAAAATGCGTGATTGTTTTAGTGACTCAATAAGTGTTTGTGTATCATATGGCATTAAGTATACCTGATATATACACAGCTTGGTGTATATACAATGACACCTCATCTATTGGTTTTAAATCTGCAGGTGTTCTCTGCAAATACAGGAGTGGAAATTATTCTCCTTTTGGCAAAGTAGTTCAAGATGTAACATTGAAAAACTTGTCCGCATGAACTTAAATACTGCACTATTAATATGATTGCAGCACATAAAACAATTTGAGAGTGGCCTTCATAGTAAAATATACGTAACACATTTACAATATGAAGTTGTCAAGTTCCTCCTGTCACCCACCACATAGCAGATAATGGCAGACCTGATGAGTTTTTATTTTATTTACAATGTTAGGATTGAAACGCATTTTGAGAACTTAACTCACATTTTCGTCGTGCTTGCCAGCGTTACATACATAAGCAAACAGCAAGGTGAGCATCTTGCCAACATCAACCCACACAGACCAGCTTGGTAAAGTAAAGTCAAAGATGCCCCACAACCTATAAGGTGTGGGATGCCTTCATCCAGCAGTGAATTGACGAAATGACTAGTCGATATACTTACTGTACCTGACTTGTTGATTTCACCCATCGCAGTAATTTTGTTTATTGCATTTTGTATTTTATGTTTGGAAATTATTTACACGCAAGTCACAATCAAAATGGAATTCAAAACGAGTTTGATTCGCAACTATGGGAGCTTTAACTGCCGCTATTAAGCGGGCTCCTGCGGGACTGGTTGACGCACCCCGAGGAGCTGCGTTGGTCCACAGGCTCTGTCCGCACGCACACTTTTTCACCACCCTCGTTCAACTCGATAGCGCCGTTATTTAACCTCCGAGGAACTGTACGGCAAGAACGGACGGCGCGTTTCATTAGACCACTTGAACGCGTTTCACGCAAGAGCGACGCGGCGGCGGTCAGAGTCCGGCGCCTGTGCCCAGGGCACGTGTCGAGTTTGTAGACGCACAGGGCTGCGGCCCTGTTGCGGCAGTAATGCTGAACTGACGTGGACTTTGGGCCAACTCTCTCAAGTTAGACATTTAGACTGCACAAGCCAAGCAAGGGACAGAACGCGTGATCTTGTGTTGGAGTTTTACTCCCAGACTAACGTGTCTCCCTTGCCGACAGGGTTGTAACTTCGGAGGGACAAAACACTGGGTCATGGGAGGCAGGATATCTTAGGATACCCGAAGAGGGGGAAACTACACGGAATGCATCGCCTTGAGATGTTATACGCTTGTCTTGTGCTTGCAAATGGTGTCTTTATCAGGACAAATTAAGCTTGAGATTATTAATGAGTCCTCAGAATCAGAATATGTATTTATCCTGGAAAATTCCGATGAGTTCTGCTCGGGATCTAAGGCCAATTATAATTATTGTCATCACTGTATTTTGCATGTGGGGGAAATGACATGCGAATGGATACCACTGAACGCCACACAGTAACTTGTTGGCAACCTACTTGCTGTACTTCTCTCAGTATTGCCTTATTTTCAGACAGATGGGTGTCTCAGATTGCATTCTGGTTCTATTTCTGCATGAGCCACTAACTCTGCATTGAGCTCCTGGATTACAGCCATGCTTTACTACCTTACCCAATAGTTCAAAGGGCTGTCAGTTGTGCCTTTTATGGAAAGTAAAGTGAGTTGACAAGGCTGTCCTGTATTTGCACAATGTGACAATCATGGATGCATTATAATACTTGAATGAATTAAAACATGTAACATAATGACAAATCCAATTAATGAATGTAATGGAATATATCAAATGAAAGCTTATGATTAATGTTCTCTAATTTTTGCAATACTCTGCTATACCATATCGGAACATTAGTCAAGGTGATGAGCACTCCCACTCTGTTGTAAAACGTCATAAAACTAGCGTGTACAGGCGGGCTACATGACATCATATGTCACGCGACGTCTTAGAGTCCTCGTGTCTCATGACATCATGCAGTCATAACGCCTGTCAACATCATCAGCCGTGTTCTATCCACTGCTGGCTGAAGGCCTCCCCAAGCCACCGACATCCTTCCCTGTTAAGCGATGCAGCAATTCATGCAGCATATGCACATGAGCTGATCGCAACAATCCGTCTCCTGAGTGAACAGTCTCTAAGGCGCGTCCCTCCCTGTGCTGCCACTCCCTTGTTAGTCTCCACCGCCAGCAATCATCCCTGCTATAGACACGTCATGGCCAAGCCAGCTTATGATGTCCCTAAAATCCGTTCTGTTTTGTTTGTGCAATGCCAAGCGCGCACCTCTCCACGCTCAACGTTTGTTCCATTCCCTTTGTCAGTGTTCATGTATTTTTTATCCATCCCACTACTGTTCATTTACCTTTTCTTTCCACGTCCCCCTTATCTGTTGTCATCTTTATCATTAATGTCTCCGTGAACCCGAACTCTCGTAGACCCTAGCCTGGCCGGCTTACTCCACATCTGGCCCGCATGTTGTCAGTTGAACCCTGCCCTTTGGGAAATTCCATGTATTATTTAAACATGACTTGCATTAATTGAGAGACCCATGGGAGCCTCCTTTAGTCAAACAGAGAAAATGGGTTTAGAATATTAATGTGGCACCAACATACAGTGAGGGAAAAAAGTATTTGATCCCCTGCTGATGTTGTACGTTTGCCCACTGACAAATAAATTATCAGTCTATAATTTTAATGGTAGGTTTATTTGAACAGTGAGAGACAGAATAACAACGAAAAAATCCAGAAAAACGCATGTCAAAAATGTTATAAATTGATTTGCATTTTAATGTGGGAAAGAAGAATTTGACCCCCTCTCAATCAGAAAGATGTCTGGCTCCCAGGTGTCTTTTATACAGGTAACGAGCTGAGATTAGGAGCACACTCTTAAAGGGAGCGCTCCTAACCTCAGCTTGTTATCTGTATAAAATGCACTTGCCCACAGAAGCAATCAATCAATCAGATTCCAAACTCTCCACCATGGCCAAGACCAAAGAGCTCTCCAAGGATGTCAGAGACAAGATTGTAGACCTACACAAGGCTGGAATGGGCTACAAGACCATTGCCAAGCAGCTTGGTGAGAAGGTGACAACAGTTGGTTCGATTATTCGCAAATGGAAGAAACACAAAAGAACTGTCAATCTCCCTCGGCCTGGGGCTCCATGCAAGATCTCACCTCGTGGAGTTGCAATGATCATGAGAACGGTGAGGAATCAGCCCAGCACTACACGGGAGGATCTTGTCAATGATCTCAAGGCAGCTGGGACCATAGTCACCAAGAAAACAATTGGTAACACACTACGCCGTGAAGGACTGAAATCCTGCAGCGCCCGCAAAGGTCCCCCTGCTCAAGAAAGCACATATGCATGCCCGTCTGAAGTTTGCCAATGAACATCTGAATGATTCAGAGGACAACTGGGTGAAAGTGTTGTGGTCAGATGAGACTAAAATGGAGCTCTTTGGCATCAACTCAACTCGCCGTGTTTGGAGGAGGAGAATGCTGCCTATGACCCCAAGAACACCATCCCCACCGTCAAACATGGAGGTGGAAACATTATGCTTTGGGGGTGTTTTTTCTGCTAAGGGGACAGGACAACTTCACCGCATCAAAGGGTCGATGGCCGGGGCCATGTACCGTCAAATCTTGGGTGAGAACCTCCTTCCCTCAGCCAGGGCATTGAAAATGGTCGTGGATGGGTATTCCAGCATGACAATGGCCCAAAAAACACGGCCAAGGCAACAAAGGAGTGACATCATTCATGTCACCAAGTGGCGGTGTGATGGCAAAGGTGGCTTCAGGGTCCTTCCAGGTGTTCAACCACAGCAATTGTCCCAAGAGTAAATAACATTCAGAAGGGGTCTCGTCCTCGTCTGTGTGAATGCGTACAACGGCATTATGTCCTGCTGATATTTTTTTCAGAAGGGGTCTCGTCCTCGTCTGTGTGAATGCGTACAACGGCATCATGTCCTGCTGATATTTTTTTCAGAAGGGGTCTCGTCCTCGTCTGTGTGAATGCGTACAACGGCATGATGTCCTGCTGATATTTTTTTCAGTGCTGTACAGTGACTGAAAGTGGGTTAGCTACACTGGGCTGAGTGGTTTCCGCTGCATAGCACGTGGCAACCCTGAAGAGCCAGGCCCGTGACAGACACATGCTCATGCATATATAAAGACACGCAGAAATTGAGAAGGTGCGCACACCCACACATAGGCAGACAGGGGGCCCATGGATACAGATAGATACAGAAACAAAGAGAAGCTTGCACACGCCTAAACAGAGAAGCAAAGAAAAGCATCAGGAATACAACAAAAGTCTCGGACAAAAGAGAGATACACAGAAGCGGTGAAAAGTAGACTTGCAGTTGCACTGCACAGTGACAGGGGGTAGGCAGAGGCAGAGAGAGTGAAGTGCGAATACATGCAGTCAGACAGAGGGACATAGAGGATGAGAAGACAGAGGGGCAGACGAGCGTGTGGAAGCAATGACAAAGAAGGAGGTACTGAGGCGGCACTGGGAGTCTGTGCGATGGATCCACTGCCCGGAGAGCCCTGGTGGGTGTGCTCACCCTCTGCCCTCAGGTAACACTCTTGTCCTGCCACTTTCTAACTTCACCTTTCCCTGTCAGGGAAGCGTTACTGCTCTCCCAGCCTCCATGTAGACTGTGATCTTGACTGGGCCGTGCCCGCGACCACTTCAGCACCAGGGACAGCGACAGCTTCATTGACGCTGCACTGTGTGCACTGTTACAGCAACGGCTACTTGTTCATGCCGGGTTGTGGGAGCGATGCACACGAGTAACCCAGCGACAAGGAGGTCAGCTTGTTGGATGATATAGAGATCCACCTGTGGCCAGACTGTTGGGATAGTTGGACTCTTGTGAGTTGGGTTTTTGTGAATATTCCAGTTCCCACGCCATCCCCCCACCCGCATGCCAAAATATTGTACGAAAAAATAATCGGCCACACATTCCTCGCAGATTTGTCTTGCAACGGAATTCGCGAAACTGAATGTTCCAACTACATGATCGTGATTGTTGATTATGTTTATTCATTAGAAGTCAAAATGTATTAAATGTGTCTTGGAATGTGTTCATATACATTATTTGTTAAAATATAATATAGTTATCCGATACATATATTCAATAAAATGTGGCATTTAAAAGTTTGGTTATGATGTTGCGTGGATGTTTGATAGCATCGTCTTTCCATGGCCCAATGTATCTTGGACGGAGCTTTCCTCCACTGATAATTATAATTTGTATTATTCTGTTCGTTTGCCAAGGAAAGCCTCGCTGAGGCTCAAGCATCTTTATCAGGAGGGTCCTGCCAGGTTTTCACAATGGGGGGAGGCGATGTTGCTATGTTACCATTGTTATGTTACCATTTTACCATCCTGCCGAGTAGTAACAGTATTTCCCTTTGCGTATCCAGAAAAGGTCGTTTGGAAAAAATAAGAATTCGGTAGTGATGTTTTGCCAATTCCATGATTGTTTGGCATGCTCTAGAGTCTAGACCATTGGTGGATATCACACATTCCCGTGGTGAGTACCAGTTTATTTTCAGGACAACTGTTGTTCGCTTTCCACAGAGTGGTGATATGGTGCTTATTTTACTTTATCCTCAAGGAAGAACCAGTGGGTTGATCCTGGCCATAATTTGAACTATTTCTCATAATTGGAAACTCCTCGTGCTAAGTCGTGCCATGGAGTGCCTCTTCCAAGACGTTTGGCCGGCGTGGAAGAGTAGGCCAAATATTATTTCAGGTCTGCATCTTTTCCTTCACCTAGCAAGTCTTAGCATTTGCAGCAGCCGTAATAACAATATTATAAGAACAATTTGTGCGCCGGCACACAGACATTAGTAATCACGTGAGTAATGCATAACCCCTAGTACGCATTAATAAGTACAAACTAGAGCAGGCACCTGCAAGCCCAATTGAACATTAATAAGCAGTAGGCATATTAAACGTTTTGCAAACACAAACGCCGTGGCGTTCGTGTGAGTTCCGCCCAGTAAGGGTGTGGTGTCCCCCTGTGTCGGCAGGGCCGTGTACGATGGCCAGCACCGCGGGGAGCTCATGTCTCGCCTGGATGTCCGCATTCGGGGCCACGACCGCGACATCGAGAAACTCTGCAACTTCCACTACCAGGGCTTCGTGGATTGCATCACTGAGCTGTTGAGCGTGCGAGCGCACGCGCTCAAGCTGAAGGCAAGCGCGCTCACACCAACACACTCGTGCATCGACGCTTAGCCGTTGCACCTTCGAGGGTGCCGTTAGTCGCTGGTCGCTTGGCGTTTTGCGGCCTTTGGGGGTTTGCGTTCAGAAATCGTGATCATAAAAAAAACAGACCCACGTTCAGTGCAAAAAAACCAACAGGTACAGAAAATGTGTGCAAAATTATTACCTTTTTGCTTAGGATTTTTTGGAAATATATTTGATCCGTTTCTTCAATTAGAAGTGCCATTATGAGGCGATAAAGCATCCTTTCAGAATGCACTCGACAGAGGAATAAAATCAAGTCGGGCAAAGACTTCCGGAGGATGGCAAAACGGAAGCGCCGCTGGAAACCTAAAACACAATCTCTTCTTAAGCCTACGCAAGGTGGCGCACACGCCTGCTTGGTAAACATTATCTCTTCACACGTATCAATCATTTGATATATTTGTTGCTGGTTCCAGAGTCGATTTAAGCTGAAATGAGTGAACACTCAAATTAATATTAGACTCACGGGAAACCACCTCTTAATCACTGTTAAGCTACTCGTTTTAAATATCACCTTTCTTGACTTTGAATAATGTCCCGAAATCTAGATTGAAATCTCAGTTGTTTATAACATGTAGTTGACCAGCAGATGGCAGCATGTGCCCAGACACTGCAGGGATTTTTTTGTCTGTTTTAACAAATAAGATTATTTGAAGTTCAGTATTCATTGCTCCAAAAAGATACATTTCAATTTTGGGTTGGCATTTGCGCAGTATTTTTTTTCAAGATATGAGGGTTCATTCAGAAGGTAGGGACTCACATTCACAGTTAGGACTCAGAGGCACACACATCGTGATAGCCCGCACTAGACCCTTGAGAGATATAGCAGCCAACAGCTCTCTGTTTCCACATTCTCGTTGCTTCCTCACGTGATGCTTCGCCTTTCTCTGTGGAACCCCTCATGAAGGAAATATTACACTGGGACTAGTAGCAGGTAAATGTAATTGGATATCCGATAATTGACGAAAATGATTTAAAAAAAACAAGTTAAAAAGGGTATTCATCTGAATTAAAATATTCTTTGGGTCTTTCGGTAAAGCCACGTATAAATATTTTTTTTCATTTTTCTATCTCCGTGGTTTTACCGAAATACAAAAATAATATTAATTCCTGCAGTCACGAAAGCTTTAAGTCATGAATTAAAGTAATGTTGGAAAGCACAATTTTTGTCAAATATAATGCAGTCGTCATTTCGAGTACTTACATAATCGATAGACTGTGTGCGCGGCGCTGCATGTGCTGTTGACTGCATGTGCTGTTGATTGCATGTGCTGTTGACTGCATGTGCTGTTGACTGCATGTGCTGTTGACTGCATGTGCAATCTGTCGTTGGGAAAGTAAACAGCACTGAGCTCCAAAGCCATTGAGCACGCATACCGATCTACTCGATCACATGCTATACCGCGTACACGTGTGTTGTTATCACGTCATTTGAGCCGTTTCTCAAACGTGAGCTATTGTCATCAATGTAGTGGAATAGTAACTTGAAGTCTAAGGCTCTTCTCCAGACCACTGCACCACGAGCTACAGGAACAAATCGACACGTCTACCAACTGAACATGAAAGGACATCGTGCGAAATGCGATTTGGCGTGGCTTTCAAACTTGGATATATCTTTAATTTGTTATTCACGAGACCGTACGGAATAATATATATTTTTTATGATCTTTTCATTGAGGATGCACTGAGCTGCTGAGTGCGTGGATGTTGTTCCTCTGTCTGCTCGACTGTAGGACCACGTGGTGGAGTCCAACCAGAAGATGCAGGAGGCAGGACGGGAGGTGAGTTCTCACTGCCGTGATGCCCACACACAGAACCCACCCAAAGTTTAACAAACAACTAATGTCACCCACCAAAATGTCAGGTCTATTCCACTGCATGCATTTTTCAAAGAAGGATAACGAATGTAACGAGCGGTGAATTAGTAAGTTGTATCTTCTTTGGTTCTTTCGGTAAAGTCACGTAGAATGAGAATAAAATAATAAATTGATAAAATAAAATAACACAATAATATTTTATCAATTTATTATTTTATTCTCATTCTACGTGACTTTACCAAAAGAACCAAAGAAGATGAATCATTGCAGTCACGAAAGCTTTAAATCGAAATTTAGTAAGTTGTAGTTTGTTTTATAAAACGCATTATTGTATAAATGTAAGACCTTTGTTCACATTTAGAATATATCGCAGACTGAATGGACATAAATCACAACCAGCTGCTCCGTGAGGCTGAGGACCAGACGAGGTGAAGGGAGATCACGATCAGAGCTGCGAGCATCGTGACCCAGTCACCTTCTCATTAGACCGGCGATGGGAGGTGGATGGATAGATGGACAGTACATATCTATTTTTTAAAATATTAGTTTAAAAAATAAGTCCTCTTGTGCTCAACAAGCATTGGTAACGTCTATAGCTACTGACAGTCTTGAGCTCATGGTGGAAAATTTATATTCCTACGGCAGGGACCAATATCTCTATTGCACAACCACTCTTGACTTCCCACAACTGTTGACTTTCCACATTTTGCTGGCGCTGGAGAGATGATTACGTTGGGCTTAGATGAACCAGGAATTATGATCTCTTAAATATTTGAGTCAGCTGCTCTTCGTGCTAAGGATTCACAGGTGATTTATTTTAATGAGACGCAAACAAATAAAAGTGGACAAGTTTGTAACATGCACATTTTTTGGTTCACTCTCAGAGAGCAAGTGATTCAGAGGCGCAGAGGTTCACGTACAAGTGGGAAGGTAGCCAGAATCGGTGCGAGATATTTCCCAAGCTCTGTGGATCTATTTTGGGATTTTTGGGCCACTCCATTCATGAGTGTTTATAGAACTTTTGGACAAAGCTATTTCCCACTCATGGTTGCTCTTGGTTCAGTAGGATTATGTTAAAAAAATAGTAATTAGAACATTCTGTACTATCTATATATAAGCAGTGGCCTGCAGATTGCCATAGTCCGTTTGTCCTTATTAATGTACATTTTCTTTGCCAACATTTTAACTGGACCAATAATACATTAATTTCTAGTAATATTGCATACTTTCCAACTGATGCTAGAGCACCAAACTGTGTGGTTAAGAATAACCCCAAAGTAGGAAATTTGTAACGAATGTCCTCATCATGCCCAACTGTTATGGGTGGATTCCTCGCATGTGAACGCAGCACACGTAGCAACACGTTGAGTGTACACTACGTGCGTGTGTCCCATGCGTGTGTGTGCGAGTTGGTGCACATGAAGAGGGAGCTGGTGCGCACTCGCCGGCAGCAGAGAAACGTCTTGCGCACTCTGGAGCAGCTCGCGGCCTGCCTGCCAGGTGCCCACCGTGCCACACAGCCAACCGTGCCACACACCGCACCGTGCCACACACCGTGCCACACAGCCAACAGTGCCACACAACCCACCGTGCCACACAGCCAACAGTGCCACACAACCCACCGTGCCACACAGCCAACCGTGCCACACACCGCACCGTGCCACACAGCCAACAGTGCCACACAACCCACCGTGCCACACAGCCAACAGTGCCACACAACCCACCGTGCCACACAGCCAACCGTGCCACACACCGCACCGTGCCACACACCGTGCCACACAGCCAACAGTGCCACACAACCCACCGTGCCACACAGCCAACCGTGCCACACACCGCACCGTGCCACACACCGCACCGTGCTACACAGACAACCGTGCCACACACCGCACCGTGCCACACAGCTCACCGTGCCACACACCGCACCGTGCCACACAGCCCACCATGCCACACAACCCACCGTGCCACACAGCCAAGCCACCATGCCACACAACCCACCGTGCCACACAGCCAAGCCACCATGCCACACAACCCACCGTGCCACACAGCCAACCCACCATGCCACACAACCCACCGTGCCACATAGCCCACCGTGCCACACAGCCCACCGTGTCACACAGCCAACCAACCGTGCCACACAGCCAACCAACTGTGCCACACAGCCAACCAATCGTGCCACACAGCCAACCAACCGTGCCACACAGCCCACCGTGCCACACGGCGCACCGTGCCACACAGCCCACCGTGCCACACAGCCAAACAATCGTGCCACACAACCCACCGTGCCACACAGCCAACCAACCGTGCCACACAGCCCACCGTGCCACACGGCGCACCGTGCCACACAGCGCCCGTCAATCTCCAAGCCCTACAGCACAGCAGCAATGCATCACACAGCACCTGCAGCGCCACACACTAGCACAGTGCCACATGTCACGTTGCACCTCCACCTGTGCGGCCGTTCTCTGCGGTAGAGTATACCTGTGTCACTCTGTACCTCTCTCACACAGCCTTCCACTACACAATATGCATTGAAATGTGTAAAAACAAATGTAGATACAATAGATTGACTATTTGTTGTAGGATTACTAAAAGAAGGGCCTCATGTCGCACTTTGCCTCCTCGCTTGCGATGACAAACGAGAGGGCGCTGTTCTCTATGTCGCAAGCACAGGCTTGTCTGAAGTATTTTCATTAAATTATGATGACATTGTATACAATTACAATTTTTATTTATATCGCTTTTAATACAGCTGCATTGCTATGTTTACCTTTTACACTTAGTTGTGTGGGTTCCCAAACAACTGCACCATCTTTTGATTTAAAGCTTTCGTTACTGCAGGGATCATATTCTTGGTTCTTTCGGTAAAAAGTCACAACAATAAAATTTCAAATTTTCTTGTTGTGGTTTTCACACCTGATGATGATTGCTTGTGTTGCAGTCGAAACGTCGTGAGAATTTTATTGTTTTATATTTTTATTATTTTATTGTTTCCCTTCTACGTGACTTCACCGAAAGAACCAAGAATACAACTGCACCGTCTGATGAGTGTCGCTGCAAGAATACACGGTCACATGTAACATTTGCGGCCAATATGTAGGCGACAGGGCCTCATTAACACACTTCACTGTATTGTTCGTGCAGTGCTGGAGACCTATGCCAAGCTGCAGCAACAGATGGAAGCAAAGAGGTACGTTATACCATGACATTTACACACCCCTGCTATCATGTAAAAAAAAGATACGTATACCTGTCAACCCATACGGTTTACCCGAATTCTTGTACAGGGAGATTGAGTTTTCAGGTCCATACTGCGTACAGCCGTTTCAATACGGGCAAATACATTGTGTATATTTGTTTGTGTTTCTCCCTTGTGATGGGACTTTGTAGGATGAGCATTGAGATTTATAAGGGGCATGGGGTGACCAATAAGGTCTGAATTGGTGTGTACTAAGGTAGGGCACTGATAAGGGATTGACTGCTATGTATATGATTAAGCTGTAACGTAATTTCCGTTAGCTGTAGTTGTGATGCCGCAGACGCGTGTCACGTTGCCAGTTACGAGATTGTTACATCTCTGCCTGACTTAGCTTATTGGGTCTATAAAGGTGTGTGCCATGTGAAGCAGTGACGTATCTCCTCTGGATGGTCTGGTCTCAGCGCTATGTCTGTGGAACATCTTTCTCTCGAGCTCGGAGCCACTTGAAATTAGACTGCCAATACCCTCATAAGCATAGGAACATTTTGACTTGGCTTTTATCACCAGTCATAGTTGACTTATCACTGATATGGCTCTAATTCTAGCCCTAATAATACTTCGCTGAATTAGCATTAAAACACAGTGCAGTTTAGTTTTTTGCATCTAGTTTGCAAAATAATTTCACATTATTCAACTGTTATAGCTCATCACAATGGAACATTTAAACAATTTAAATAGTCTTGGCCAGAGAGCCTATTCCCTTATCCCCGTTGTAAAGATAACGAAATCAAAACGGCTGCTCCAACCAGATACGGACTTGTGGCCTACTCGAGATCTAAAATAAAATGTATCCAGACATTACAAAAAAGTATAATGAATGAAAATGTTAAATGACATTGCATTACTTTAATTTCATAACAATAAAACCTTTTCATTATGAAATCGCTGCACACTTTTGATAACTAAAGACGTTGCGTGTTTCCCCTCAGAGATGTTACCTTTCACGATGCGATGGAGCCCATGTGATACCATTTCACCCTATTGCAGATTTGCTGTTCAGCATTTCTCATTTTCAATTATTCTGAGCGATGCGAAAAGTTATGGTTCCAAATACAATTATTTCTACATTATCACAGCCCTCATTAAAAACATATCAATAATGTACACGGACATAATTGCACAAAAGTCGTTCCATTTAACCCTACCTTAAAACGGAGCGTGTTTTATTCTTCACAATTTATCCCATTTGAAGGGGAACAGAAAATCAGCATTCCTCTGCTTGACAGTGTTGACGATAGGCGACTGTACTTTTGACCTCGTAATCCCCTCGGCAGTCCAGCAGTCGGCAGCCTCTAGCCGATTTCATGTTGCCGACGGACTGAATGTGTGGCCAGTTTCTGTGCTGAGGGTTTGCGTGGCCCAGCAAAGCTGCCCGATATGGCAGTGCCAGCAAGATGGGAACTCGCTTTTCTCGTGACTATGGAGGCAGCCGTTGAAAGATCGAGTTATAGTTTTGTGTGTCTTTAGACTGTGCCAAAGCTGCCACAGACCTCTAGTGGCCAGCAGCTGCTGTTATGGGACTGCTAGAATTTGATAAACATCGTAATTCACGGGGTTCCGGTTTTAATTGGTTGCTATATGACGCATCTCCTTTACCTCTACTTAGTCTGCTTTGTTGTCGTGAGGAGAAGGGCATGGAGGTTCAATGTAATAAATAATGTATACTTATATAACATGTGGAAACTGTGAGGAAGAGACATATATAGAAAACAATTCAATGCTGGGGCACAGCAGATTTGTTATATTTGTTTTGAATTATAAGGAATTTCTGTACAATGTTTGAGAATTTAAATAAAAATATTACATTTGTTCGCTTATTGTTTTGAAACATTGAAACTATTCAATTGTATTTAGAAAATAAATGTAATCACTTGTTTCGTGATTTTTCTACCAACAAAAAAACACCGACTATATCTATCATTGGTGATTTACCTTCCCATTCTGTGGATTCAGTGACAGAGGCAGGAGACTTTCAAGGGTCATGATGATCATTGCGTTCGGTCATGGACGCGAGCGCTAAGTTACCTGACGTTACTTTAACGTACTTACAACGTTGAAGCGTGACTTGCATTGCACCGGCCTGTGATCCCCTCCTGTCTGAGAATCTGTGGCTTGTCGTGACTATCAGGTGGGGACAGCGACGAGGCGCGTTTGATTGTTTCTGTCTTTAACACATTGCGGCTGGGCAGAGCCCAAAGGCTCCTTAACGTCAAGTGGCCAGCGATAACAACTAGCACCGCCAGAGCTGTCATAGACGCAGAGTTTTAACGCGTTTCTTACATTGAGCATGGCTGTGAAGGCTTGGGGGCAAAGGAGACGATGGGAGAGCGAATTCCCAAGTCGAGCGGCGCGAGGATAGAAGCAGAAAGAGATCTGTAGGATACGAGTTGAATGCATTCATGTATTTTAGAGTTTAATCCACGATCGCTTGATTGATATGATCTTTCGCAAATAACTCCCACGAGTGTAGATGTTTGTTTACTTCATGAAGTGAACGTTGGTGGTCAAATAGGCCCACATAGCATGGGGATGAGAGGAGCCGTGGGTGGCTGAGGCAAGGGGACTGATGCCCACATCGGAGTACTGAAGCAGCGCCGTTGAGAACCTTCACTTTGATGCTTTTGTGGCTATGACAAAGGGCCAATGCCTGGAACGTCGCCGATTATATAGTGTTGTTGACGTGTGCATTTTTTTGGGACAAAAAAATAATAATTCGCATCTCAGCTGGGTGATCGATACCTAAATTCAATGACTCCGCTAGAAATAAACTTTGAACCTAAGTTGGTTGAATAACATTGATTTAAAAAACCGACAGTTTCCCAGGTCCGTAGCAAAGTGCGCTGACCGCCGTGCCACTGGCATTCCCCCATCCCATCAGTTTGGTTTAACCGTCTGTAAATCATAACCAGTTTAGCAAATTGCCGTGCATGTTGTGACAGAAGTGTCCACCTCGCGAATGAGCAATTGGCTGTGTGGGCAGTTGGTCTGTCGTCGACTTCTCTACTTATTCTACTTTTTTCATATTTGTGCAGAGCAGGGCAGTGGTACGTGGTGTGGCCTACACTGGTTGACTTTGGACTAAATAAATTGAGAAAACAGCCTTCTGTAGCCCACTCCGTTCCCACGTGAGATCACGTGGTCTCCAGCGCCAAGTTATGTTTCCATTTGTTTCATGCAAGTGGAGGGAGACTTCGAATGACTCTTTTCTTAAATTCTATGACAGCCATATGCTTTATTTCAGATGGACAAGATAATCTGTCTTTTATTGAGAAAGAAGTGTCTTAGTAAACATCAGATAACGAGAGACGTTGCTTCTTAGTCGCACCTGCGATTAGCACGGTTGGCTACGTACGATGCGAATGAAGTTCAACAAACATACAAAACTGAAAAGTAGTTATTTACACTTGCGTGTTGTTTATTTAAGAGGTATGGCATTGTATATGCTATTTTAATAATCATGTATTTAATAACTAAATTCTCATGATGAACAGTCATCAGGATCAGATATAGTCACTAAGCAATTCGATCAGAGAAAATATGCATGAAGCATAATCATATCGGATTCGGATTTGGATCTGATCAGACCTGGAGTGCACAGCCTCCATTAGCTCTCAATAGAAACTTTTCACACGTGTGCGGTGCGCTGTTTGTTGCTGCTCGTCAGTTCGTGAGGAGAACCAAGCACCAGTTAAGTTCTACGTCCTAGGCTTTTTAAGATGTCATCATTCATCTTTATTCATTTCAGAAAACGGTGCAAGCGGCGCCCCTTTGGAAGATTTTAATTCGAGCAAACGTGCGAAGAGTTTGCGTTGCATAATTTCCAAAATTGCAGGAAAGAATGAACAAAATGTCGTTAAAGTATTTTGGTCTCCCGGTGGATTGGCGCTGCCGCTCGGCGCGTGAGAAATGCGGCCCTGGCGGTGAGCGGCGTGGCCAGGTGCAGCCGAGACGTCTCAAGTCCCAGCGCCACCGCAGCGTTCCCCTCTGCCTGTTTGCTTTGGACGTCGACTACAACCTGAAACATGAACCCCCATCGGCCCCCCCCTCCACGTCTTCCCTCTTTCTCCAACATCCACCAAGCCCTACGCCCTTCCACTCCCTGCTACGGCGCAGCCACATATTAGTCACGGTGGACTCGCAGCGGCTGCCTACGCCAGAGTATCCAGCCACGCGCCGCCCCAATTCACTGCTGCAGTGGCTTGAGTGGATACTTTGCCTGTGACTGTTGAAGCTTTCTCGTGATGCATTGGCACGGCACGCTGCTGCTGCGTGTGAGGTGTGGCCTCGCTTCTTAGCAGAGGATGGAAAGGTCATTTGGAGATCTCTGCCTGTGGGTGTGCATCGACACCGCAGCGGAGAACTAACCACGAATGCCTCCTTTGTGTCTAGGAATTCCTAAGCCTTCCCTTATCTCGGCGTCCTATTAAGAGCCGAGCATTTCATCTCCTGAGATATTGCAGAGCTTCTAAGTTCTCTAGAAATGTTATTTTCGTTCCCATTACATAGGGGCCCCTTAGACAATGCCTGGACAGGACATTTGGAAGCATGCTACTTTTTTAAACTTGACTTCCCTAAGCATTGTACTGTACAGTATATGGAAATCAACCAATTTGCACCTTTACGAATTTGAGCTTTAGGCAGTGTAAATACTGACAGCACATGTCACAAGCACCCATTGTCACGACTAAGGGAATTAGAAGGGCATTCATACAGTATTTATAAATAGGTGTTATTTTTTTCCATAGTGTCACCAATGAGCTGGTTTACTCACAGATGTCTTCTTGGAGTCACACTATCATCTCATTATGTTGGCTCATTTAATTAGTACATAAGGTTAGGCAAAATGATCTCACTGCACCAGCCAGCCACCTCTTCACGAAATCCACATTATTTTTATTTTACCAGGAAAGTCTAATTTAGTTTCAAGTCTCAACCTGATTGGAAAAACGTGACTCTTGAAGACAACGCTTGCATATGAGGGGAAAACACTCGCGTGCATACTGTCACCGTCATCATCTGTGCCTGATCAAACAACTCCACCCTGAGGCCTACGGAGTTTGGTACAGACCTGCACTACGACACTCGCCAGGGCTCCAAGCGGTCCCAAGTGCCTTGGATTCATGACGAAAAGAGGGTTGAACCAAATATTAGCTCAAATTCAAATCCTAATGATCGTGAAAGAAAACACCTAAATGAACCAAGCCCAATGAACATTCAAATAATCCAAGCAGTATATCTCAGCCCTATTTTATACAGATCAATTCAATTTATTACATTTTTGACATGCGTTTTTCTGGATTTTTTTGTTGTCATTCTGTCTCTCACTGTTCAAATAAACCTACCATTAAAATTATAGACTGATCATTTCTTTGTCAGTGGGCAAACGTGCAAAATCAGCAGGGGATCAAATACTTTTTTTCCCTCACTGTATGTATCCACTTCTCTCATCCAACTCCGTCTCTCGTCTACATCTCTCGCGAGGAACCCTCCTAGCGAGCCAGCACCACCACTGCACGTGGTGCGTTTGTGCGTCGCGGCAGCCCGCGTGACCACGTGACAATGTGACTGGGGGCAGCCCGCGTGACCGCATGGCTGTGTAACTGGGGGCAGCCCGTGTGACCACGTGGCAATGTGACTGGGGGCAGCCCGTGTGACCACGTGGCAACGTGACTGGGGGCAGCCTGTGTGACCACGTGGCAACGTGACTGGGGGCAGCCCATGTGACCACGTGGCAACGTGACTGGGGGCAGCCCGTGTGACCGCGTGACAATGTGACTGGTGGCAGCCCGTGTGACCGCGTGACAATGTGACTGGGGGCAGCCCGCGTGACCGCGTGGCAATGTGACTGGTGGCAGCCCGTTTGACCACGTGGCAATGTGACTGGTGGCAGCCCGTTTGACCACGTGGCAATGTGACTGGGGGCAGCCCGTGTGACCACGTGACAATGTGACTGGGGGCAGCCCGTGTGACCGCGTGACAATGTGACTGGGGGCAGCCTGTGTGACCGCGTGACAATGTGACTGGGGGCAGCCCGTGTGACCGCGTGGCAATGTGACTGGGGGCAGCCCGTGTGACCGCGTGGCTGTGTGACTGGGGGCAGCCCGTGTGACCGCGTGGCTGTGTGACTGGGGGCAGCCCGTGTGACCGCGTGACAATGTGACTGGGGGCAGCCCGTGTGACCGCGTGACAATGTGACTGGGGGCAGGCAGCCCGAGTGACCGCGTGGCTGTGTGACTGGGGGCAGCCCGTGTGACAATGTGGCTGTGTGGCTGTGTGACTTTGCGACCGCGTGACCCGGGGCAGCCGTGTGACCGTGCGACCGTGGCGCGCTGCGCGCAGGTTCTACCCGGCCCTGCGCACGCTGCAGCAGCTGGAGAGCTGCCTGCCCGCCCTGCCGCGCTACCGCTTCTGCGCCGCCGTGCGGGACGGGGCGGCCGCGTTGCGGGGCACCGTGCGCGGGCACGCGGCCGCGCGCCTCCGCGACTTCTTGGAGCGTGCGCAGGAGCAGGCCGAGGCGCTGGGGGAGGCCGCCACCGTGCAGGTGGACGTCGCTCGGCTGTTGGGGGCTGGGGGGGGGGGGCGACGCCGCGGCCCCGCTGCGGTCCGTGCGTTCGCGGCTCGTTTGCCGAAGTTGGCGGTTCGGACGCGCCAGGCCACCCTGGTCATCGTTGCGTGCGCGGTAACTATAAGTTACGCGCCCCTCTGCTTCACAGTGGATTTTAAAGATCCCCTGATGCCATTCGAATGACGAGGTCATCACGTGACGGCGCCCAAATTTTTCAAATTGTTAAAAATGACCCGCAAATAAGTCATTTGGGATTGCACGCAGACGCAATCATCGCCTCCTGCTGGCAGACTCATGTCCGCTTGCAGGCCAAGTGCTGAGTCACCCTGTGCCGCACGGGGACAGCTGTCGCTGGGAGTGCCCTTTCAACTGTTTCAGATGAGGCATTTGAAAATAAAACAAGTTATTATTAAGGTTTGAGGGAGTGTTCTCAGAAGGTATGTTTTTATTTAACTGTAGCTGGAGTCTCATTCACCTTTCGCAGTTGTACCGAGAGGGATACTCCAAAAGCTCAGAACCAAAGCTACCGATAGGATGTTTATGGTTGATTGTTAATTCCTAAGGATCAGAGTCAGTATGTTGTCCTCCCCCCACACCTCCGATTAGCACGGTTGGCTACATACGGTACGAAGAAGTTCAACATACATAGGGCACCTCTACCATATTTCGAGTTCTGTGTCAATGCTCAACTCCCACCGAGCCGAACCAAGGAGCCCTTCGCGTTTTAAGGGCTCAGGGTCAATGCCTGCGTTTGGTTCGTCTTCCCTTTACCTCCCGTACCAACACATTTTATCACCGAGTAAAATGAAATACATTTAGAGTGTTTTTGTATTGTGCGGGCGAAATCAGAGCACGCGACTTCTTTGACTTTTGCAGAGGAAACTGCTGCACTGTACTCGCACGCAGAACGTGCCCAGCGCTCTTTGCGTCGTCCTTCCACTCACCATGCCAGTGCTGATTGTGCGCGCGCGTGTGTGTGTGTGTGTGTGCGCGCGCGCTTGTCTGCCTGTGTGCATTCACGTGGACTTCACAATTCACCTCGCTTGTACGGGTGAGCTGGCCTTAGTGGAGCAGAGAGGGAGCCCATTAGGAGCGAGCAATGGCCCATTGGCGCACAGAGTCCAGGTCACGGCCCGTGCTGGGATAGTTGTCATTATTGCAGCCTCTAGGATGCCCCCAAATGATGGACACGAGTTTTATTTTGGTTGTCATCATTAATTTTGACCATTCTCATTTCACCGCACGAAGAATGCCTTCTTTGTTCATCTGTTTGGGATGCAGTTTGCATGAATGAGACTATAGAAAATATGTTCTTATTATTACTATTATTATCCGAGCACCTATACTCGTTTGCAGCGGTAATCCATCTCACTCCACACGTGTGCCCTACATTCATTGCTCCATTTCCCCTTTAACCGCCCGCTGGTGCACATTCCCTTGCTTGGCTCCCTATCCATCAATGGTTGTGTCCTTCGTTTGTCGAACCGCTTTGGGAACTGCCTTGGTTGCTCGCACTTATTTTTATTATTGGGGACGGCCAGTCAAGACGAACCCTTCATCCGATCAAATAACGTAAATTATTGTATGTTATTCCAACAGAGTAAACCTCGGTCAAAGATACCCACCACACTCTTAGCACTCTCTCGCGTCAGATTATAAATGAGTAATTAATGCAGTCAGCGACAACTCACTTTACGGAAGGACTTCTGTTGTGCCTTTGGTCATCGTATTGCAACCTGACATTCTTGTTACCAGCAAATTTACAAAGGACAGGAAGTCTGTCTCTGTGTGCAAACTCACAGATAATACCATCACACATGTACAAATGTTGTGTGTCTGCAGCATTGCGAACAAAATAACATTTACAGTTATATTCACCTTACCTCATATAGATTTAGGCACAGCTGAACAAAAAGTCCAGCGGCTCACAATATTGTGATGTGAAGACTTTATTTTAACGTTCATGTCACGCACACAATGTAGGTAATGTGCAGCATTGCATAACCTGCAGACGAGTATTATGCGCTGGATCCAAGTAAATTATCTTTCCCGCACCTCCGATTAGCACGTTTGGCTACGTACGGTGCGAAAGAGGTTCAACATACATACACACATGTGTAACATGGGTTAAAACCCTCGCACTACAGGTTGTCCACGGACGTATAAGGCTATGCATGCATTTACGTCGTATCCACCATCGAGCTTAAGGTCTTCCCCTTGGTAACCAATCCCTGAGTGTCCACTCAGTCAGTGCTGGTGACACTGACCCTGAGTGTCCACTCAGTGCAGGTGACACTGACCCTGAGTGTCCACTCAGTCAGTGCTGGTGACAGTGACCCATGAGTGTCCACTCAGTCAGTGCAGGTGACAGTGACCCTGAGTGTCCACTCAGTCAGTGCAGGTGACAGTGACCCCTGAGTGTCCACTCAGTCAGTGCAGGTGACACTGACCCTGAGTGTCCACTCAGTCAGTGCTGGTGACAGTGACCCTGAGTGTCCACTCAGTCAGTGCTGGTGACAGTGACCCATGAGTGTCCACTCAGTCAGTGCAGGTGACAGTGACCACTGAGTGTCCACTCAGTCAGTGCAGGTGACAGTGACCCTGAGTGTCCACTCAGTCAGTGCAGGTGACAGTGACCCTGAGTGTCCACTCAGTCAGTGCAGGTGACAGTGACCCCTGAGTGTCCACTCAGTGGTGGTGACAGTGACCCCTGAGTGTCCACTCAGTCAGTGCTGGTGACAGTGACCCTGAGTGTCCACTCAGTCAGTGCAGGTGACAGTGACCCTGAGTGTCCACTCAGTCAGTGCTGGTCACAGTGACCCTGAGTGTCCACTCAGTCAGTGCTGGTGACAGTGACCCCTGAGTGTCCACTCAGTGCAGGTGACAGTGACCCCTGAGTGTCCACTCAGTGACCTCTGACCCCATATGTCCTACATATGCCCCCACCCATCACAACCTCCCCTCTATCTGATCACACCTCCAGTGTTTTCCCACCACATTCCATTTCAGAATTCCAAGCCGCTTCAAGTTCATAGGACATTTATTATGCATCGTATTCACACTCCGGAAGCCGCCTTTCTCTTCAACATAGACGCTAACCACTCTACTTTCCTAAAGTAGGCTGTTAAGAAACCACGCTGCTGTTGTAATAAGGGGCCGTCCATAAATGACGTCACGTACCTAGGGAGGGGGGGTCAGACATTTGCGACGATGTGTGACGGGGGGGGGGGGGGTTTGAGACGTCACATAAAAATGCGCAACTTTAAATAAAGATAGACAACACATTCTACTTAATCAAATATATTTTTTAATAAATGTAACATCTGAGTGCAGCGGCACATTAAATACGCACTACAATGACAATAGTTGCGATTTGAAGCATTTTTCTTTTTTTGGGGGGGGGGGGGGGGGGGGTGCAGAGCTTTGTGATGGGGGGGGGGGGCGGTCAAAAATCGTCCAAAATCACGTGACGTCATTTATGGTCGGCCCCTAAGTATTTCGACCTCCTCTCAGCCTCATACTGCCTCCACATTCTCAATTCCTACCGATGCGCTGGTGGCGGTGCAGGAGCCCCATCTTTAATTACCACGTGGCACACGTGTGGATGATACTCTCCCTGGCGCAGCGCCAATAACACCCACAAGATCCCTTCCTCTCGTTCACAATATCATTGGATCACAAGACCTGCTTACGGAACGACTCGTAGTGGAGCTATACAAAGCAGTAGGTTAATAACGCAGGGTTGTATGGTTAGGTGTATTATCAGGAGGGGACGTTACCAATGAATCTTAGCTTAATGGGGGAATCTGGCAATGCATTGCAAGCCACTGTGAAATGGATATTTTATGTACCACAACCCATTCTCAACAAGTTGTAACTTACGTTTAGTCCATAAACGTTGGATCCTGTGTACATGAAGCACCCCCCCCCCCCCCCCGGCACCAGGTGAGCAATGCCACTGCTGGTCTGTTTGCGGGGTTTGTGTTATTTGACTTCGGGAGTCTAGTTCCTCTGCATCCTACAGTTTCCTCCGACGAGCAGCTCGTGTGACACACACACACACACTATGGGAATGTTATTTCCGTGATCAAAATGTACTTGGCGGACACACAGAAAAAAACACATCGTAGCGCAGATGACAACAACGCATGACACGATAAATCACTTGACCTCTGAGCACACGACGTCGTTTCACGGACCCGCAAGCCGCACTTCCCGTGCCGCGCCACGTCTAAATGTTACACGAAGGGAACGCGCAGCTGCTCACATTAAAACTCATTTACGATGTAAAGGTCCCCGCGATGGACGGGCGGGCGGGTTCGGCCGAGGTTTTTGTGCGAGCGCGGGGGTCAGTGCGCCGCCGAGCGTGGCTCGGGGCGGGGGGGAGGGGGCAAACACAGTAATGGCTGTTTTCTCTAGGCCATTAAACTTGTAATGGTGAAAAGTTCAAAACTCGATTCCAAAGAAAAGGGGGAATGGAAAACCGAAATTATTTCAAGTGAAATGATTTCGTGCACCCACGCCAGAGATCCCCCCCCCCCTCCCACCTTTTTGCCGACTACGGCATACTCCAGTGCACGTTGCAGCAACTTTCTTTAATTTCTTAGCGTAACAGTGCGGCGTAATTAAATTTCATGTAGGTTTATAAAAATACAAAAGCCAGTCCCTCGGCGTTGAGGAAGGTTCCTCTCGCCGCGCTCGGGCGTCTGACGCGGGCGTTGCGACGTTACACGGCGCGCACACAGCCACACAAAGCAACACAGACATTGGAAGTGCCACGTGTCGCGCACACACGCACGCAGGCACGCGTGGGCTAACAAGCAACAAGATGACAAAGATCCTGCCCCTCATTCTGTTTAAAGACGATTGGGATAGCGCTGTGAGTGAGAACTCGAGTGGGGCCCACCTGCCACATGGTGGGGGGTGGGGGGTATGGTCACAGCCCAGTGCTGTTATTGTCCATATGGTGATGTACA